ATATTAAATGATAATATTAAAATTATAATAATTTTTTTAATAAACATTTTATATTCCAATATCAATAAAGAAAGTAGAATCAATTAAATATCTCCACCACTATTTATTTATTGTAAAGATTATGTTTTTATTAATATTCTTTGTATTTTTATAAATTAATATAATATAACAACTAAGGATTAAACAATATAACTACATAAAATAAACATTTAAGTTAAATAGTATTTTTTTTAGATTGTTCTATGTAAAATTTTTATTTATTTAAAAAAAAAAAAAATAATCAAATAATTGTAATCCAAATTTTTTTTTTAAATTAGGTTTCATTTTGAAAAATGTATTAAAAATTCAATATATTAATTGATAGGAAATTTTACTGCAATTATAATTTATTTAGAGTAGAGAAACCATGGTATATATATAATTAATGAAAACATTTTTGATTTTAATATTTATACTTTACAAATCATTCTAATTAACCTACTAGCTTCATTAGATATAAACCTAAGGCAACAGAAAGAAGATTCATAATCAATCTTTCCAATTTTGGTCTATATGAGAATGATTATTTCAATTCTGGTAAAATATTAACTAAAGCAACATAGATGAAACTTCCACAGGTTAAACACAATAATTCTTATTAATAAGTTTATGCAAAATGTAATCCTAAATTTATTATGATAAATTACCAACATATCCTCCTGCTAAACATCCTAATGATGTTAAAATTTGTGTGAAAAGGATGACAAATACACATTTACCTTATTTAAGTAAATAGGCAAAATCACCAACTTCATGAGGAATCTCATGCATAAAAATAGCTATTGTAGTTGTAATACCAGAAACTAAACTTATAGAATAAGTTGCTGCTAATGCAATACCATCTGTAAAATTATGAAGAAAATCTCCAAATAAAAATATAATTGCTGAGTTATTGTGTTCATGATGATCATGGGATTCATCTTTTTTTCCTTTCAAGTTCTTTAATTTAATAATAAACAAATCAATAAACATAAATAATAAGACTCCTCCCAAAACTAAACAAAGTTAAGGATTTTCATGATTATCATGATGATGATGATCATGTTCATGTTAATCATGAGAATGAGTTCCTAATATTTATGGTAGCATATGGAAAAACACATCTCCTAACATTGTTCCAAATGAAAATGCAATCATATATTAAATGGCTGTTCCTCTATTTCTTATACCAACAGTCTATTTTATTATATATTATTATTACAATTAAAAGCAATAAAAATATTGGTAATGAAGGGAATGAAACAATTACTACACTATAATTTACTTAATCTTGCTTTGAATTAGGAAGTTATTTTTCTAATAATTTTGGTAATTAATGTAAAAAATTAATTAATTTATGCTTGAGTTGTTAATAATCTGGAATATAATTTAGTTAAACATTCCATCCATCTTATATAGTTTTATCTTAACTTGTTTATTCTTATTATTTATATTATTGATAATGATGTGTGTGTTCATGTTAATGATCATGTGAATGATGATGATGATCATGTGAATGATGATGATCATGTGAATGTTGATCATTTGTATTTTCATGTTAATCTTCATGATGTTCATGGGTAGTTTCTTTTGTATTTTCTTGATGATCATGTGAATGTTCATCATGTGTATGTGTATGTTCATTATCATCATGTGAATGTGTATGTTCATTATCATCATGTGAATGTTCATTATTATGATCAGAAGAGTCATGTTGTTAAGTTTACTCAAGTGTCTATACTTCCTCTTATTCTTACTCATTATTCAATTAACTCTTTTAAACATCCTATTCATCTTATGTCACTTCAAATTATAAATCAGGGTTAAAATCATTTTATACTTATTCTTATTAGTTAGAGTCTTCTTGATTTAATTCATTATTAATTTAATTATTTTAAATTTATTCTTGATTCTATTCTTTTTATGAATCATTTATTGGAATTTAATTTAAATTCAAATCTATTTCTGCTTATAAATCTTCATTCAAATTTTACTCTTATTGACTCTCCTCAGAATTATTTGAATTATTCTCTTATTCACAATTTTACTTATTTTCTAATGTACAGAGTTCGTTTTCTTATTAATTTTCATTGTCATTATGTAAAGTTTAACTTTCCTATGATTCACTTTATTAATCAAGATTTTAATTAGTATCAACCTCTTAGATTGATTCACCTTAAGTGATATCAGTATCTTAATTTTCTGTTGATTATGACTAATTGATATCTTAATTAATTTCTTCCTATTTCTGAATTTCTGATTGGCTCTCATTTTTTGCATCATTTACTTCTTCTTAATTATTAATAATTTCTCTTTCTTCATTATTATTGTCTTATTAGATTTCTGATTCAATTGAATCTTATTAGATTCTTTTTTGAACATCTTCAGCTATTTATTCAGCTTATTTTATAGATGCATCTACTTATATCTTTATTTCTTCCAAGTTTTCATGTACAATTGTACAATGAATTATTGAAGCCAAGCAGATAACTAGAAGGATTGTTTTCATCATTAATTAAATAATAAATGCTAAAATCTTAGAAAATGCCCTCTTAATAGCAAATGAAAAATGTATTAACACCAACTGTAACATCACAAATCACTTATAGTCCTGAGTTATCTCCAATGAATAAACCTATAAAACATATGACAAGAAAGACATCTATGATTGAATTGTATAGAGTAGAAAATGAAGCTGTCAGAATCAGACCTTAAAAAGTTTTATAAATCATTAAAGATGCAAAACAATAATTATTCTCTTAATAAAATCCTCGAAATGAAAAAAAACAAAAGCCAAGAGTGGAAACATCTGAAGGTTAAAACAGAGGCTTAGATTTTACATTTGCATAGAACTTCTCAAATAAATAAATTATATTAAAAGAATTCTCTACAAATGGTCTCAGAAAAAAGTTTTTTGTATGATCTAGCTTTAATCATCATAAATATATCAATTCACAATTTAGTAACAGTCTTCTTTATTAATTTACATTTTATAATCAAGTAAACATTATTCATTTAAATATATAACTAGCATTAATAATGCTTTGTATATATTATTATCTCCTTCTATAATCTTTCAATTTCTATGAAAAAGAGTTTTCATTTTTAGAGATTAAGAATTTAGATTTTTTTCAATAAACTAAGAAAAAATTATTAGAATTATTAGTATTTTAATGTATTGTACATATTTAACTATAGTAATAGTATTAAAATAAAATTAAAAGCTTGAATAGAATATAAAAATATTGAAAGATAATTGATAATGCATAGGTAATAGATAAGATGGACTTTTAATATATAAAATCTAAAATTCAATTGTTAATAACCCACTTAATAGTCTTTTATAAATCTCCTTCATTTTTTTTTAACCATCTTGTGGCTTAAAATCTATCAACATCGAATTCTTTGACAATTAAGTCAATGTGAGCTTCATTTAATTTGATAGTGTCTTATTATATTTCAACAGGCTAGATATGAATAGAAACAGATACTTATTCAGTTGCATGACCTTCAACTTCACGATCTTCATTTCTCATCACAATTTTCTGATTCATAAAATTTAAATAACAAATTAAATATAATAGTTAATCTTATTATTATCATAGTTGTTGAGGAGGCATATAAATAAAGATGAGAAGAATGTATTAAAATAAAAGAGTTAGTTTTGATTATAAGAATAAATTGAAAATATAAAATATTTAATGGAAAGTAAACTATAAAATTTTGAGATCTAAAATAAACTAGGTAATAAAGATGTTTGATGGTATAGGTTCCGGAGCTTATTCATCAGTGTACAAGGTGTAGAGAAAGTCAGATGGCAAAATATATGCATTAAAGAAAGTATAAGGGATAATTAATAGAAATAGGTGAAATTGATGGATATGGGAGATAGAGAGAAATAGAATGCATTGAATGAAGTTCGAATAATAGCATCAATTCATCATGAGAATGTGGTTTCATATAAAGAATGTTTTATAGAGGATAATAATTTATGGTATGAGAGTGATTTTAACATAGTATAATAATGGAGTATGCAGAGGGAGGAGATTTATTATAGAAAATATAAAGATATGTTAAGAGACAGTAAATGATACCAGAATTAGAGATATGGCAAGTTGCAATCCAGGTGTTATAGGGTTTGAGAGCTTTGCATCATAAAAAAATATTCCATCGTGATTTGAAGTGTGCTAATATCTTCTTGTATGAGAATGATTAGGTCAAACTTGGAGATTTCAATGTATCTAAATTGGCTAAGAATGGTCTTGTTTATACACAGACTGGTACACCTTATTATGCTAGTCCAGAGGTTTGGTAAGATAAACCTTACGATCATAAGGCAGACATCTGGTCTTTAGGATGTGTTATCTATGAAGCATGCTCCTTAAAACCGTATTTTATTAATATATTTATAGACCATTCAGAGCTAAGGATATGGATGGACTCTATAAATCTGTTTTAAGAGGATAATATTAACCAATCCCTGTTATCTATTCTTAAGAATTAGTACAATTGGTTAAAACTATGATGTAGGTTCATCCTTCTAATCGTCCTGATTGTGGTAATATATCACTCTTATTATTATTTAGATAAACTTCTTCAATTTTCCTATGTTTAAAAGAAAGCCAAATTATATTCTATTCCTTTAAACAATGATGATAGTCAAGATGATTTATTAAAGACTATTAAATGGCCTTTTTCAAGAAAGGGCCTTTAAGCTAATAAATCAGAACTTATTAATTTAAATTGTTAATTACCTGCCAGCAATTATTTAAATTAACATAATTCTAATCACATCAGAAGAAATCAATAATCAAATAGAATCAGATCTTAAGATACTAATGATTCCATCTCCTTAAATCAACCCAATGAAGCTTTAAATTAATTAATTAAATAAATCTCTTAAATAGACCATAAAGATATTGAAAAATCTCCTAATCTTAATTCTAATTTAAATAAATCCATTTCCAAATAGAAAATCTAAGAAAATGTCTTACCAAATGACCGAAGATTGAGAATATCCAATTCTACTCATGAAAAACATGACAGATATGAACCCATTTCACAACCGTAAATTTTTAAATAGAAACCCTAGTAAATGTGCTTCTAAGGATAGGATAGACCATCAGATTTAAATCAATTCTAATTATTATGCTAACGATGTTATCCAATCAATTAATAAACAGCACTATTCTTAAAAATTGCCAATCATTACTGCAAACTAAAAACAAGAAGATGATCATATTTTAAGAAAAAACTCTTCAAATGAGAGAAATTCAAGTAGTTATCTTAAGAGATCCAAACATGAACCTTCAAGGAAAGATTTCTCTAGATAGCCCAGCGCTGAAAGACCTACTACCTTAATGAAAATTATTGAAGAACATCAATAATTACCCAAAATAAAAAAGAAATACTGAAATATCTAATTTTCCATATTACCAATTAATTAAAATTTAACAGAAATAATATATATTTTTAATCAAATAAATGGACATGTTTTTTGAATTAAACAAATTTAGAAATTCGATTAAATAAGAAGTACAAAGTAGACCAAGATCATAAATGAGATAATCGTAATTGAAAAGAAAAATGTCGAGCATCAGAAACAGTGTGCACGCAAGTTTGCATGGTAGTGGCAACAATAGTTTGCATAACAGTGCCTAAAGATAAAGTAATAACTCAATAGCTTAAGTGTTGCCATTTCATAAAATCAAAGAGATTTAGTAAACTCTATTAGAATGCAATTATATAAATGATCTCTCCGTTTATTATGTGGAAGAACTAGTGAGATTTGCTAGTCTAGTTATGGAAAAAGTAGTCAAAGTAAGAGGACATAAATGATATTAATTAATTATTTCCAATCTTATTGAAATTTATTTTATCAAGTGTTGATACTTACCTACATTCAAGATTTTAAATAAATATATTTTATTGACATATATTAACCAAATTTTTTATCATCTGTTAACATCATTTTTAGTTATTTGAGATTAAATATTTCTCATTTCAAATTAGGAATTTACTTATTTGAGGTATAATGATTTCTTTATTTGTTAGATTATTTTATTTTCTTCATCCAAGTATCATAAACTAAGGTATGAATTTTGATTTCGCAATTTATTATAAATTCTATCTAATTCTTTTAGGTAAGCAGAAAAAGAATTGTTTTTAATATTTATCTATTAATATTGAATGATTAACTTTTTCTCCAAACGAGTTTTTTTTATAAAAACTATATACATTTATTGTAGCAATCAAATTTTGATTGTGAAATAAATTTAGATAAAGAAAGTCGAAAAATAAAATATAATGATATTTATATAAGAGTTTGGTTTTAATTCGATAATTGATAATGATTGTTGTAATGGTTAAGACTTAATAATTATTTAATTATAATAGAAATATATAGATATCTTACTAATGAGTTTTTCGAGAATATTTATTGTAAATATAAAATAAATTTAATTTCATCAATAAAATTTAGAAATTGTTCTTTGGTTTGATAAAAAAGGAATACTCGATTAAGAATGCTTGTTTATATGGATGGAAATAAGAGACTATAATAATTTTGTATGTGAGTATGTTAAAATTTGATATAGAGGGAAGCTCTATTTTAGAGATGGTTTAGAATGGATTTTAATTATATTTCGTATTACTTGATAATCATGATTGTGTATTAGTGCTAAAAAGGAACTTATGAAATGAAATGGGTATCTTGTTTTGAATCCAAATTGAAATAAGTTATTGATTTGGGTAGAGATTGAGAAGAGTAGAAAATAATATTGTAGGGGGTGGATTGATTATAAAATGATATATAATAATAAAATGATTGAGAATTAGAAACTAGTGCATAGAAAATTATCTATTTTGGAATATCCTTTGAATGAGTTGTTAGTTTTAGATAATTAGAAACTGAAGATTACAAAAAAGAACTTTACTTGCCAATTACATTCAGGAATATCAATAGACATTCCAAAATAGATTTAAAAGTTCTATAGGAAGCGGTTCTTCCTATTTAAGAAATTTAATGATGGCATATAATTAGATGAAGAATCTTGGTATTCAGTGATACCAGAGGTAGAATATTGTATAATGAATTAAGGAGATGAGCATTCATATTGCAAATAAATTAAAAACAAGTTCTCCAGATTCTGATGTAATAGATGGTTTTTGTGGTTCTGGAGGTTTAGCTATTCAATTGGCGAAATGTTTTAAAACAGTAGTTTGCATTGATATTGATCCAATGTAAAATTAAATATTATAAACTTAGAAAGATCAATAATATTACAAATAATTTGTAAGTGTATGAGTCTATAGCAACTGTAATTTAGATGAATTTTCTCGAGTACACTCATTCAAAATAAGATTTCATACTCATAATGTGTCCTCCTTGGTATAATCTCAATTAAACTTAGGGGTGGATTGAACTACTCACATTAACCTTATGATCTTAATAGTATGAAACCATCTCTTTAAGATCTTCTAACCAAAGGACTTTAAATGACCAATAAAATTGTTCTGTAATTGCCCAAAAATATAGATATACCATAATTAATAAACATTTTCAAAGATGTTACTGACAAATTAAGATTAGAACTCAAACCCATAGAAATAGAAATGATGCTCATCAATGAGCAAATTAATTAATTAATTATTTACTATGGGTTATGACATCAATTTTATATTTTAATTAATTCTTTTTCTTTATTATTTATTAAATATTTATGGTTAATATTTCTCATACTTTTTATCATCATCATTCTTATTTTTTTAATTAATGAGGCAATAGAGTTCCATATATCTTAGCTATTGGAAATGGTAAAAACATAGTATTCTAGTTTTTTTTTGACATGGCAACATGAAGCTTTCTCTGTATAGTTTTATGTCTCTACCTCACCATTTCAGCTGAACTATCCGTATTTCCATATATGATATCAGTTATAAATTTAAACAAAAAGAATGAAATCATCAAAATTACAAATAAAGTAAAACTATTGATATCTGCAAATACATCCTAATTACTATAAGACAATAATCCACTATTTATGAAAATCGATATATAAGATATTAGATTCATATAGTATACAAATGGTCCAATTGATCTTGCTGTTTATGGTGTAGGTCTTTTAGTTAACCATATTAATTTGAATTTATCCAAAAACAATTCTAAATAATTCATTGCCAATCCAGTAATGAAAATTAATGGAAAAGGACTTCCGAAATTAGCCAGTAGTGCAAATTATAAATTTAATTCTAAATATTCCCAAATCGTTCCATCAACTTAATCAATTGTGAAGGATTCTTTCTAGGTTTCTGCCTCTATAGTTTTATTGAAATAAAAATATGCTATTAAAATATAGTATTAGTTATTTTACGCGTTTTCTTTTATAAAGAATCACCAAAATCTACTATGCTAACTAATCCATATCTTGCTCTTTGATAAATTTATTTTATTATTGGTAGTACAAATCCAAATAAGATATGTTTTCCAAACTCAATTATAAATACGACTCTCATATATATTTATAATTGTGAGTAACAATAATTGTCATTCACACATCCTATAGTTCTTTCATAAAAAAATGCTATTATGAAAGGTTAACCTAAACGATTCACTGTTGAAAATAACAAATCTAAGTTAATTAAAATATTATTACTTTTTATTATAAAACTTGTCTCAAATTAGGACAAATATTTATGATTTTCCCATTTGGTTAAAAAGAATGCAACCGGTCTGTAAATATTATCCAACAAAATTCCAATAAAAACCCAAATCAATGCTGGAATAAATACTGATAATTCAATAAATTCAACTTAAGGAATATCTGGATTCTTTTCTAAAGACAACGATAATAATTGTAAAGAGACTATAATCACAATTTCTATAAGTAAAAATATTGCTACTAATATCATATTAAAAAAGAATTTTAACCAACTCTCTTTCGATGAATATTGCAAATCATTTAATTTATCATTAGCTATCGATCTTTTGGGTTTTCCTACAAATCCAATCAATTCAACTTAATTTAATTCCACATCTTCTAAACCAAACATTGTTTAAAATTACATCTCTTAACGAATCCATAATGCTTAGAAAGTTGATGACCAAAATACGATCATTATTGTAAAAAATATTATTGATACTTTATTAGCTAATGCATCGACATCATAAAGTAATTAAACTATAAATGTCAAAATTCCAAAATAAGAAATAGGAAGCAATTCCTAAACAAAAAATTGTAAAAACATAAAATATAATGCTATTCTCTCTCCATAATAAGAACAAATATGTTGGACAGGTACTTCTAATAAACCCCATAAATTTAATAAATTATCTCCATTTAAACCCCCATCTACATCCAACTTTTTCTTCTCATTCTTTAATGGATCATCTTTCTCTATAAACTTTTGAATTTTAGCTTTGACTGTCTATATTAATTTCATAGAAAAAAATAAGTCTTATTTTAACTATTTAGCCTATTTTAATGGTTGATAATGATCATCCTTGTATTTCTATCCATCTAAATCAAAATAACTATTTGGAATTAAATGATCCCTTATATAATCTTATGAACTTAGATATTCTAAATTCACTAATTATTTTATAATAGATATATTAAGTTTTGCTCTTTCCATTTTGTTAAATAATGAACGTTCTCCCTTCTCATTAATTATTTGGTAAGTCCAAATTGAATCTTATTAAATAAATTTGTTATAATTCTATTTTTTTCTTGGATAAAAATATTCTATATATGGTCCCTAAGGTTCCATTCCTAATCTATCCCACATGCTAAATAATCTTTTACCATATAATTTATCAGTCTGATGTTTGGCATTCATTAAGATTTATTCTATTTCCAAAGCTTTTTTTCGCTTCAAATACACCTTTATTTTTCTCTTATTTGTGTCTTTCCAATTTCCTTTACTTTAATCTCTAACATATTATTTTGTTGATTTTTATTTAAAACTTTATTCTTTTAAATCAGCAACTAATTCTTTGATTTCTTGAGATGATAGAATTTTTGTGCAATCATTTTCTTTGTATTTCTTTCTAATTTTTGTTACTTGAATTGCAATCTGTTCTAAATAAAATAAATAAGCATTTAAAATATTAGCAGACAACTTTCTTTGTTGTTAAATTTCACCAGATATCTCAAATGGATTTTGATTGCACTCTCTTGCCAATTTATTATAATCTATTATTTTTAATAGTCTTCTTATTTCTTTTTAAAGAGTTTCATAAGTAATATCTGAACCAAATAATTTAGATCGAATTATTTTATTAAATCTTAAAGGTCGAAATCTTAAATTATTATTAAAATACATACGCTTCATCTACTGGTTCTAATGACAAAATATCACAAAATGCAATGCTAACCCTTTTTTTCAAATAAGTTCTTTAAGCTTCAATTATAAGATTACGTAATTCTTAAAATAATACTGCATAAATCTTAGTACCATCTAAACTAAGAAATTGTCTAATAAAGAATCTATAAATTTATAAAAATAATTTTACCCTGCATGATTAGCTAATTTGTACAATAAAAATACTCGAAATAGAGTAGCAACATCAGAAACTCTCTCACCTGTTCTCTCCCAATTATTAGACATTGGATTGTACTTTAAGAACCCTCCCATACCCATTTATCTAGTTTCATCAGGTTTAATTCTGACTTAAGTTCCCTGTTCATTCATTATAAATTGTTTTTATCGCTTTTTTGAGTTACTTTAAAAATCTCTTTCTATTTCTTAGAATTATGCTAAAGCAGATGGTTCCTTTAGACGATTAAAAACATTAAAAAATGCCATTTTCATTAATTCATCATCTGGAGATTCAAATGAAGTATCAACATCAAAACACTAATTTTTATTAAACCATTTACTTTATCAAAATCTCTTAAAACATCTTAAAACTGTATTGAGTTTTATCTGTACTTATAATTTTCATGATCTGGATTGTCAAATACCAATACATAATCTTAGGGGTGTTTAGTAATAAACAATTACCACCCAAATTCAAATATTTTTCATCCAATACAATATAATTATAATGAATTTCTGACTTAAATTATTCAGGATATTGTAAGTAGCTTATAGTTTTTTTAAGTTTCTCTAGTTTTTTAGAGCTAAATGCTTTCATTTTTATTTATTTTTATTTTTATGACTGATTTAAAATGTAAGAAAAGAGATAACAAAATTACAAACTAAGAATGCTAAATTAACTCCAAAAGTTGTGTAAGAAAATGAAAGAAAATTATGAACAGCTATGACTGATTATCAACTATAATATGTTTACTTTGTAAAAGTTAACATAAGCAATGTAAATTGAAAGGTTGATACAAAAATTTTAAATAGGAGGATCATGTATAAATATATTGTAGGATGAAAAAAGAGTATTAAAGAATAACATTAAAGTTGTATAAATAGATGTAAATTATTAATATCATCTTAAGTATGAAGTTTAAAAAATGAAATTTGAGAGATATGTTGAAGAATAAAATAAGATTTAGGAAGGCTTAGATATTAGATCAACCATAAAGGAAGATGAGATCTATAAGTTAAATTAGAAATAGATTAATAACCTTGAAAAACAAAAAAAAGAAGAAAACCATAATCTTTGCTAAAGAAGAGTTGGAAAGCTATGTAAAATGAATCTTTTCATAATTATATTACTTGAATTTACTATTGGATATATTATTGCAATCCTTTATAATCATAGCACTTGTCTTATTTCATTTAATTTGATATCAAAATATAGTTTAATGCTTTAATGTCTGACTTATCTAATTCATCATTAAGTTATAATTCTTTTGTCAAATTTTTATTAATTATATCCTCCATAACTAAACTAAGCGCTTTTTTGAATAATTGATTTGGTTAAGAGTAAATGGAAATATATTATTTTAAAAAACTGACATCATATTCTTTTAGAATTAAATCTTAAATATAGAGCTCACATTGCAAATTAATGATATTTAAATACTTGCTCATCTACATAATATCTGATTCTACCAATTACTATAATTTTTTATTTTAAGTCAATTTCTTACATTCTTGGTAACTATTAAAGGATTCTGAAAGACATGTTAATATTAAACAATCTAATAAAAACTAATCTATTGTTTAAACACTACGAATTTCCTATGACATTAAATAAAAAAAATATCCTCGATCTCTCATGTTTAAATCTCGATCTTCAATTTGATTTAATTCAAAATCTTAAAACTTTATTTATTCTTATTATTTTTTTTTTTATTCTTCTACTTATTAGATAATAATTTTCTAGATTACTTCTTCTGTTATACCTTTCTAATTTAATTCCATACGCAAACTTTTTTATTCATATTTTTCAATCAAAATTTCAACCTATAATTCTAATTGATCTAATTTTATTCTCTCCTATTTAACACAAACCATTTGATTGATTAAATTTTGATAAGGGCATTTTCTGTTTTTTATAACAAAATTACAAATTTTTCCTAATGAATATATATCATTGGCTATTGAAGGCCTTTCCTTATCAAGTTCAGGATCTATAAATTCATCTTATATTCTGTTTGAATATTGAAATGGAAAAAAATCTGTTGTTGAAAAACAAATAGTTGAATTTAGTTTTTTTTATTAAAAAATATTGGTAGGTTTTAAATTACCATGAAACTCACCTTTCTATTAAAATAACTTTAGTAATTAAATTATTGATGCTAACATATGCAAAATTTCATAAAAATCCAAAGTTGCTTACATTATATTTTATTTGCATTTTTTGAAAGCAAAATAGAAGGTAGTTTAAGTCCTTTAACGAGAATAGCATTCTACTATATATGGATTCCCTTTAAAAATTTAGGTTTTAGTTGACATATTTCTAATAGCTTCTATTAATCTTAAACTTTCAGGTTAATTATCATTTCCTAAAATTTTAATAACCGCGTGTTTCTTATGCCCATCAATTTCACACAAACCCAATCGAGTTTCATATTTATTTTATTCTAAAAGGCATTTTTTATCCATATCAATGAAAATGTCTTAAACCTTTTTGTATTTATTTTACATTATTTAAATAATGTTTCTCAACAAAAAAAAATAAGTTCTAGTTTTTTTTTCAATTAAGAAAAAAGCTAAACTTTAATAAAACTTCTATAACTCATTTATATTAAATATGATGATTTATATAGTGCGATTAACAAAAATATATATGCATCTGGCTATTAGTCAGCCTCACTATCTAAATATTTTTAATAAATCCAAACAAATATAAACAAAATGTGATAGCAAGACTCATAAAATGTAAATTAGATTTATTCCCAACTATATATTATAAATTATAAATTCAATAAAGGTAGACAGCATAGACTGTTACCAAACAAAATAATGAATCATTTATGAATGTTTCAGAAACACACATATCTGTGTCATAGTCCCAAAAGCATTTAGAACCAACTCTCACACCTTAGCCTGATTAATATATTAAATTCAATAATTACCCCTTTATTGACCAATTAAAACATGTACGATAAACTTATATCTGCTTGTGACAGTATATTGCTATTTAAGTCTATTTTTAATGTTTTCTGCAATGTCTTTGGATTAAGTTGTTACATCTTGATATGATCCTGTCTTCAATTTTTATTATAATATTTCTTATATTAATTCTCTGCATTTGGAAGATTTGAATTTTTCTCTTGGTTTTGGCTTGATTTGATATTCTTAATTTTGCTACTGAGGTTTTTTAAGCATTCGAAAAATATTTATTAAATATATTTAATTATAAATTCTTAGGTATTTTCAATTTTCACATGGTCTTTTTTAAAATTTCCTAATTCATACTATAAAAAAAAAATTACTTTGAAACGAAACATTTTAATAGTAAAAATTTACATTTCTTGAAATAGCAATACTTACTTATATTAAAATAATCAATTTATTAAAAATGCCTGACCAATTATTCTGATACTCAAATAATTCTCTAATTCATTAAATAGTTGAATATATAATTAAAATTACTGTTAAGAAATCTAATTAAACAAGTGGATTTTATTTTAAGAATCTAACAATTATCATTATAAATTACATTATTTTCATCTTGGATTTTCTAATCTCTGAAATCAAAAAAACAATATTTCTATATAACAAATTAATTGCAGAATTATATGGTTAGATTTATTAGGGATTTAAGTATTCCTTAAATATATATATCAGTGATTATTTGACTAAAAGAAATTTCATTAAAAATAATCATTAAATCTTATTATTTAACTTCTTTAAAAATAATATGATAAGCTTGAGTCTTTAACAAAGCAAAAAATAAAAATATAAGTCTGTTAGTTCAGATGAAAGATAAAAAATAATCAAAATGTTTTTGGAAAATGCATTTTCTGCTACCTAAGTATTTTAAATTTATAATTCAGATAGCTCACCTTACAGGCCATAATTTGTCAACTATAAAGGCGATATACAGAATATATAAAAATGAAGGCAGAATAAAAAAAAAAGAAAGGAGAGATAGGGAAATCCAAATAAGATAAAATGTGCTTGTTTTTGTAGTTGATGAAAAGTAAATGATTGATAATATAGTTATAGAACCAAAAAAATGAATATTATAGCTAAATAATAATTATAGAAAGATCTTATTCTTAAGAACTTAGAGTATCCTTAAGAATCATTTTAAAATACAATTAATGAGACTTTTTAAAATTCAGCCAAAGATGTACTTCAGCATTTGGATAGTTTATAAAAAAAATAGTGCTTTAATTCTATAATAAAAAAGGCATAAATAGATGGTTTAGAAATAAAAGAATTTTAAGAGATTTCTTAATTCTCAAATCAAGTTAACTAAAGCTTTAAGATTTAATCTTAATATTAATATTTTCGAAATATTTTCTCTCCGAAAGAATAGTCATAAAAGAATGTTTAACTTTTCTAACCTCAGAATTTTCAATAATAGCTAAAAAGTCTCTCTGAACTGAAAAAAATTTTGGAGTTCTAATTTAAAGATTATTTTAAAAAATCCCAATGATAAATTTTCATATTATATAAATTGTATTCAAATTATGTATGTTTAATACTATTATGTTAAATATATATTCAATTTTTAACTTATAAATCTCACTTTAATTATTCTTATTTTTATGTTTATCTTTAAACAAAAGAAAGTAGCGATGAATTGTGTTTTTTAACACCCAAACTAAAAAGAATTTTTGTGGATTACAAGAATTAAAAAAAGTTTTTAAAAAATATCAATAATTTTATTTCATCATAATTTATCATTAATATAATTTAAGAAAATTAAAAATTTTTATATTAAAATAATTATTTTCTTGTTAAGGTCCTTATTTCTAGCTTTAAATTATGAATATCATAAAAATTTTGTAAAATTCGCATTAAATTATCAAGTTAATGTACATATATGTATTATATATTAATTTATCATTTTTCGACTTTAAGCTCTCCAGAATTTATTTTTCCAATAATTGCTTTTACTGTTTGTCCATCTACTGTGGCTCCTAAAGATTAAGCAGTTCCTAAAACTTATTTAACTGTTCCTGTAAATGTTTTAGCTAATGACTTTTCTTCAACTGCTCTAGCAACTTTAATGACTTATTCAAGTGTTAAATTTCCATTATGTTTGACATTCTTAGTCTTCTTTCTATCTCTCTCATATCCCTAAAGTTAAAGTTAATTAATTACTCCAATTTCTTTAATTAACAATGCGCTTGAGGTAGGAATAACAGTAACATCAGCATTTCTATTTTAGCATCTCAAGTTAACCATAACTCTAATACCCTTCCATTTTCCACTTTCAGCAATAATTTTATCACCAACTTATTTTGGATTCTTGAATAAACTATAAAATATACAAGACCCAGAGGTCCCAATTTTGGAGCAAGTGTAGAGGCTGGACCACCTTCACCTCCGAACACTTTGATATTAATCAATCTAACTTCATTTGGATCAACTTTGGGAGGCATTAAAAAAGATTTAAATTTTTTTTAATTATTTTTTTTTTTCGAATATTAAGACAAGGAATTTTTATATTCCTTTAAATCAGCTTTTAGCATGATTCTCTTCTTATTTCTTCGATGAACCTAGTTAAGTTGTTTAACTTTTCTGGAAATACAATAAACTTTAAATTGTAGCAAATTTCTAAAGTATCATGTGCTGAAAATAAATTAATTTCATACTAAATTTGAATGCCTTAAAAAATATAGCTTGGGTATATATGAAATATTAATTGAATAAATTAAGAATGATATTAAGTGAGATTTATTTAATACTAGATATTTTTAATTAAATTCTATTTAAAACTTAAATTAAATAATAATCAACAAAGAACTTTATATAAGGGGTAAAAAATATTATTTATACGATGAAATGTATTAGTATTTTCAGGTAATCATTAATATCTTTATTATTTAAAATCAATTATTAAGAATATTAAAAAAGTAAAAATGATGAAATTCTAGAATTTTAAATTTCTTTTATTATATTTAATAAATTTTAAGTTTTTGGTGAAAAGGAAATTCAAAAAACAACTAAATAATTGTTAATAAAGATTAAAATTTAATTGTTTCAGTTTCGCTATTGTCACTGAATTCCATATTATGATATTTGATGATTTAAAAATGTTGTCGTTTAATTTCTAGTTTTTACATATTTTGGATAGCCATCTTCATCAACAAACGCTTCTCTGCAGATTGGACAATTTTATTATTTTTATAACCATTAATTTAAACAAACTTCATGTAATGTGTGTTTACATGGTGTTATTCTACATTTCTTTTAATCTAACAAATCTAAACATATAATGCATTCTTGATCTTTTGCTGGATCCACTACTCCCATTAAATGTAATAAACCTTTTTATGAATTCAAGGTCTCATTTCCTTTTTATTTATTCTCCTACATATATTAACATCGCTTTTTAACTATATAGATTATAACAAGTAAGATAATAAATGAAACAATGCTTAATATTATAACTAGTACGAAATCTTAAAATGAAGAATCATTATCTATCATCATAAATTCAAGTGAAAAATTTAATGTTTAAAAGTAAGGGTTTTAGAATAAAAAAATGAAAGAATAATTAGCTGTCTTTATATGATAAGATGCAAACTTATCAGAAAAATCTATCTCTTATCCTTCATGATTAATTACTCCATCAAAAATTAATTTATTATCTTTTAATGATTTGTAAGGTATTTCAAATGGAAATAAAAAATAAATCGTTACATTTATTGAAGGACTTGCTACTACCCTGATGTTTCTTATCTACCTCAATTTTCATAAAAATTAATACTACTAATAATCGATAATCTCATTCTATTGCAAATAAATAGCAAGGATTTTACTTTAAAAAGGTATCATTTCGAATTGATATATACTTTAATCATAAATAGACTCAATTTAATATTAACATCTATCCCTAATAATAATATATCCATTTCATACCCTGCTGTTTATTCAAAACATTGGCATTCTAACTTTTAACATAAACCATTTTAAGAGCAATTATTGGGACAATCCCTTGTTTCTACTTAAGTAATTTTATATTTGTCTTCAGGATAAATATAAATGTCTAAATCATATTGCTTACCAACTTCAACTAAATAATACATTTGTAAATATTAAGTATAGTTTTTCTATAGTGAACTTTGAATTAAAAAATTTTCGGCTACTTCTATCTTCATCTCTGTCCAAGTTTCACTAAAAGTTTCAATAAGAAGATATGGATTTTATGCAGTAAAGCTAAAAGGAATGCAGTTAATGCTACAAAAATTTAAAAAAGCGAGAATAATCATCTTAAAAAAATTATATATTAAATATCAATTAAATATCAACTAAAATTTGATGCCTTTTACTACTAAGATCCATTTTTTAGATGCTTCGATTATAATTATAAATTTCTGCTGCTATTCTTTTGTCTTCCATAAAAATAAATTTATGTTGTATTTTTTAATAAGTCAATCAATTATTCTTTATTGGAGTGCTTGTTTAATAGATCAATAGCCTTTTTACCTTTAAGTGATTGAAGTTCTTTTTAAGCCTAAATTAATTAAAATTTATACTCCATTTTCAATTAGAAATTTAATAATCTAATAATTTATTTCTGCTTCTTTTGGGTTTAACTCCATTTTGATTGAGCACAACTACATTAATAAGTTAAAACCATGTGTTTTATCTACTATCCAATTGATATCTGCTCCATAATGAAGTAATAATTCAGCCATTTTGAAACAAATTTTACGATTTTCAAAAACATTTTTTTCCTTAAAAATATTTATAGTATGAAGAAAATACTTCTTCTAGTCTAGCAAAACATGAAACAAAAGCTGTTTAATTAAAAGTATTTGGCTTGTTAACTTCTGCTCCAGCATCAAGTAATATCTTCAAAATTTCGTAATTTCCTGTCATTGCTGCTACAGAAAGTGGAGTTTATCCAGAATCAATACTTGCTAAATCAACATCAATTTAAGAGTTAGATAATAAAAGCTTAACTATTTCTAATCTACCAAGAAAGCAAGCACATATTAGAGGTGATATTTTTTAATCTAGCTCAATTTCATTAAATTGTTCCAAAAAATTAATGTTGGCTATCAAATTTTTTTACTTTACCTTTGTTTATTCCCAATTCCTTCAAAGTATCATAATCATTTTAATGTATCAAATGCAGGATTAATTACTAACTTAATAATAATTTAATACAAATTCAGATAATGGTTTCTCTTCTCCTTAGAACATTATTTTAATTAATATAAAATCGATTAATAAACTTATTATTGAATTTAAAAAGAATAATTTAATACCTGAAAAACTCATAAATAGGCTTTCATAGATAAGATTTATTTTTTAATAAATATGCTTATTAATCCTAAATTATAAAATTAATACATTTGAGACTTAAACCTATAAATATTTATAGTAATGTAGTTTATTATAAATTCCGAATGACTTTGCTAATATAATTAATTCTCTTCAATTTTAATTTTTGAAGATAACAGATAAATAGAGTATAAAATAAAAATAATAATGTATTAGATGATTCTATCTTGGTATCAAAAGTATTTTTATCCAAATTTTATAAAGATATAATTATATTTTTAGTTCTACTAGGCTGGGAAGAAAAAAATGCGAAAAGTTGAAATTATAATAGATCTTTTTTTCCATATAGGAGAGATTAAATTTCCAAAGATATGGCTCTTTTATAGCAAAATATTTCCAAAGTCATATTTATTGGAGATTATTAAACCTTAATAANTCTGCTCCATAATGAAGTAATAATTCAGCCATTTTGAAACAAATTTTACGATTTTCAAAAACATTTTTTTCCTTAAAAATATTTATAGTATGAAGAAAATACTTCTTCTAGTCTAGCAAAACATGAAACAAAAGCTGTTTAATTAAAAGTATTTGGCTTGTTAACTTCTGCTCCAGCATCAAGTAATATCTTCAAAATTTCGTAATTTCCTGTCATTGCTGCTACAGAAAGTGGAGTTTATCCAGAATCAATACTTGCTAAATCAACATCAATTTAAGAGTTAGATAATAAAAGCTTAACTATTTCTAATCTACCAAGAAAGCAAGCACATATTAGAGGTGATATTTTTTAATCTAGCTCAATTTCATTAAATTGTTCCAAAAAATTAATGTTGGCTATCAAATTTTTTTACTTTACCTTTGTTTATTCCCAATTCCTTCAAAGTATCATAATCATTTTAATGTATCAAATGCAGGATTAATTACTAACTTAATAATAATTTAATACAAATTCAGATAATGGTTTCTCTTCTCCTTAGAACATTATTTTAATTAATATAAAATCGATTAATAAACTTATTATTGAATTTAAAAAGAATAATTTAATACCTGAAAAACTCATAAATAGGCTTTCATAGATAAGATTTATTTTTTAATAAATATGCTTATTAATCCTAAATTATAAAATTAATACATTTGAGACTTAAACCTATAAATATTTATAGTAATGTAGTTTATTATAAATTCCGAATGACTTTGCTAATATAATTAATTCTCTTCAATTTTAATTTTTGAAGATAACAGATAAATAGAGTATAAAATAAAAATAATAATGTATTAGATGATTCTATCTTGGTATCAAAAGTATTTTTATCCAAATTTTATAAAGATATAATTATATTTTTAGTTCTACTAGGCTGGGAAGAAAAAAATGCGAAAAGTTGAAATTATAATAGATCTTTTTTTCCATATAGGAGAGATTAAATTTCCAAAGATATGGCTCTTTTATAGCAAAATATTTCCAAAGTCATATTTATTGGAGATTATTAAACCTTAATAATGTAAAGAAACATTTATTTATGTTAAATTTCTTTATATAAAGATTATATAGAAATCTCACAATTGTCTTTTTATGATTAATTAATTTATATTGAATAATTTTTAATCTTAAAAACAATTATTCATGTTTTTAGAATTTCTAAAATTAATTTCAAAATGATTGAGCAAAGTTACAGATTTTCTCAGATTATCTTAAAGGAACCTATATATCTGTATTTATATGTAAAAATTTGCTAAGAAAATTTTTATTAGCAATTGATAAAACTAATTCAATTTCAATAAATGGTATACTTAAATAAATTATAAAAAATAAATACATAAATTCAATTAGTAAGAATAGAAGAATTCAATTAGTAAGAATAGAAGAATTCAATTATAAAAAATTTAAAGTTATCTTTATCATTTTTATAAAAAATAATTTAAATAAAAAAAAAATAAAATATCTTCACAATTAAGTTTCATACTAATGAGAGATTTTAATAAGGGTTTTTTACACCCTGCTACACTTTTAAAATCATTTATTCTCTAAATTGATTTAAAGCATCTCTAACATCTTTACATTTTTTTTATGCGATTTCTTAAATTTAATAAATTTATACATTCTAATAAAGGCATAAGATCTTTAAGGGCTCTGTCATTTTAATCACCTGTCCAACCTAAAATGTAAATACCATTTTCAGGTTGTAATTGAAAATTCTCTGGCATATTATCAACTATAATAACTTTTTCCAAGCTTCTTCCCAATATGGATAAGTCCTTTATAATATTTTTTTGTTTCTTTACTTTGATGTATACATTATCTTTGAAAAAAGTGTGTTGTCTATAAAGTCTGGCTACAACAACCTTTTGCTTATCAATAATGTCAATAATAAAATTTGCATAATCTGGCTAGGCTGCAGTAAATATAACTAGTTCATAATATTTAGATAACTTTTCTAAAAATTCTTCTGCATAAGGTCGAACTAAAAATTATCCTCCTCCATTCGGAAGCTTAATTAAATAATAAATATACTTCCTGATAATGAACAAGGGTCTCATCTAAATCTAAGACTAATGTATAACTTTTCACAGGTTTTTTAGGGAGCAAAAGTTATTATTTTTAATCAAATAGTTTTGATAGCTTTTTACTATTCATATTGTTATGATTTTCATCCTAGATTATTTCTTTAGCTATTTAATCAAGAATTTTTTTTTATTAAATAAAATAAACATCCAAACTTGAAGAATTAAATCCTAAATGAGAATATATCTCTGGGTGACTTGTGTCGTCAATACCTATTATTGATAATTTACTTACATTAATTCTAGAATCGATTTAATTATAAAGTTATTTTTTTGTAAAGTTTATTTAGCTTTGTTTTATGTTTTCTTTTATTAAAATTATCTCATATCGATTCTTTATTTTAACACATCCTAGTATTTAATGAAAATATTACATTTTGCACAGAAGAAAAAATTGTTTATAAAATGTAAAAGTTACTTTATGCTACATAAACAACAAGGTTCTTTAAATTTTAATCAAAGTTTAACTAAATTTTTAGGTATTCAAGGGCTAAAATAAGGATTGTGTAAGATTCTAATAAGAGAGTGTCAATTATATGAATATCTAATTTGTACAAGTATTCGCTCTAATAATGATTAAATTGAATACATTTTTTCGATCTAAAAGGGAATTTAAAGATTATTAAATTTGATAACATAATTAATTTAACTAATCTTAGTTTATATTATCTAAAGAAAGATTCATTTGATTCCATAATTATTCCTTCTCTAATAATAGTCTAATGACTCTTTCTTAGATTTCCTCTTTCTTATCAACTTGATTAACTTCATGTTATAATTTTTTTTAAATTTAAGAGGAAATACTTTTGATTAGTTATGAATTATTTGATTTTTATTATTTTTCATTTTTTTAGACTGGTTTTCGTTATATGCTATTATCTATTTTTTATTTAAGTTATTAAATTTTGTTGATGAATTCAGATGAAGAAATATTTTTATTATTATTTATAAGCTTTTGAGGTGTAGTGTTATTGCTATTTTTTTGTTATGATTATTATTACTACTATTTTGCTAATTAAGATAATGTTAAATTATTGAGTTTAATTTAAGGATCAGATTATTTATTTTGGAAGATATAATATAGATTTGACAAATTACCATTGTTTTAATTAACTTCTCTAGTTGATTATGGGGCAGGAATATTTTATTTGAAAAACGATTCATTAGTTTTGGATGTTTAATTTAATGGAATCTTATTTGCATAACCAGAGATTGAAGCATTTCTTGAATCTTAAGTTAAATTATTAAAATTACAAACACTATCCCCTCTTGTAGATTTAGTGTCTTAAACTTTTTTTTCTCTCAAACTTTATCCGAATAATGAAGTTGATGATGATTTATTGTCTGATTATACTAAGTTGCTTAGCATTTACTTAATTTTAGTGGCACTTTCCTAGTTTTAATGTACATTAAATGTTTTTTCTATAGGTGTGCGATCTTCTTTTTAGTTAATTTTTACTTCTATAATCACTAAGATCTTTGAAGGAATTCTTTGATTTGCTTGACATTGTAGAAGTCTCTAAATTATTAGAAACGTTATAGTTTTTGGATTTTTTTGAATCATTTTGTCTAAAAGAAAGCATATTTTAAATGGTTTCCTTTAACAGATTTTAATTAATGAAGTTTAATATTAATGAAGGCTTATATAAGTATGTTATTAAACAAAAAAATTATGAAAATAGCAATGAAAAGAGGAGTAGTTTTTAGAATATTCTTCTTAATCAAAAAGCTTATTTTCATTTTCTTTCGGTGAAATTCAATATAAAGATTCATAGAAAAATTAAGGAAAAATTTAAGTTATAAATGATTTCCAAACATTTCAAGGATGGAGAAATCAATGTTGAAAAATTTGATGGAGTAAAGAAACAACTAAATAGTAGAGAGAATGTCAATAATTTTAAAACTATGCATAATCAATAAATATGCCAGCCATGATTAGAATAATTTTCTCCTCAATGGTGGCAAATTCCGGAAAATTAATTCCATATGTATCTGATTTAGTACACCATTCTCTACGAAACCCACCAAATAAATGGCATATCTTTCCAACTTTTTAATTGTTTCTATCTTTAATTTAAAACTCAATTTCGGCACAAGATTAACAGGGTAACATGCAAAACAATCCGGGTTAACAACAGCTAGCACTAATAGTATATAATAAAGCATTATTTTTATCAAAGCATGTTAACTATTACAATTTGAGTAAGCAAATACTTTGTAAAATGTACATTTGATCCATGTCCATTGAAGTTCTTCCATAACTTTCCCAATATATTATCCTCTTTAATAAATTAACATTTCTGGTCTTTGAAAGCACAAAAAAGAGAATTTGTATGGTTTTTCTACTTTGATATGAACTTCAGAAAATTTTCTTTAATCTACAAGTTCAAGGGATCGTTTAGATGGAGGACAAATAAATCTCTTTTTTTAAAATAATTAATTTACCTTTACATAAATTTGGATACCTCTTTAACTTCAAAATGCACTTGACCCCAGTTTGACCAATCATCCTCACAATAAATAATACTGTATTCATTTGCTTATTCACAAGGCTATAAACATGTAATGCATGGGCAAATAGGACAGGCACAAATAAATGGAGAAAATCTTTCAATATAAGAAGGAGTAGAGGTTATGATAATAGATGTCTAGAGCATAATATAATTATAAAATATATAAATTATATATAAATTTTATATAATTTTTTTATTTTGAAATTTTATTTTAATTTTATTTCTGCTCTATAATGAAATTCATTTATTCATATTTTTTATAAATTAAGCTCCTAATTCGTGTAATAGCTCATAATTTTAGAATACTAAGCATGAATTAGACTATTCAAACAACTTTTGATCTATGTAGATTATTTTTATAATTAAAATTTATTTATAAGTATGTATTGTGTCCTTTAAATTTTTTTGTGCTTAATTGTTAATGTTTTCTTGAATAAAAGTAGTGAATTATCCTTTCATAGAGATCAAAAGTTTAAATATACTTAAAATTATAATATTTTTCAAATATAATAGAAGTGTATTGGATCTATAACATTTTGAACTTTTATTTAGATTATTGATTAATAATATTGTTTTTGATGAGCAAATGTAAGGTGATGATCTTCATTTGCCATATTGAAAATATTTTGGAATGGTTTAAAGAAGAGAACTTATTTATAGTAAAAAATAGTAATTAGAATAATAACATGAATTGTTCAAATATTATTTACCATAATGATTCGTCATCAAATTATTAAACGTAATTAAAATAAAATGTTTTTGGAAGTGTATTATTGGAGAATCTAATTACGTATTAAATTTAGATGAATAGAAATTCTTGTATAAATACGTAATATTTAAGTTCTATTTATAGAAATGAAATCGTCATAAATAAAATTCATTAATTATGGAAAATCAAACAGTATAAGCTTAAGAACTGTTATCAAAATGGGGACTTCACAATGCAACAGTATTTAGAAACCCAAGTGTGCCTCTAATCTATGAGCTATCTTTATCTTAACCTCAAAGCGAGGATCCTACAGTTAGGCCAGATTCTATAAATAGTACTGGTGCTTTGGTTGCATACTCAGGAAAGAAATGCGGGTAAGAAATATTATTTTATGGTTTAGTCGTGTTCCAAAAGACAAGAGAATCATTAAAGATGAAGTTACAGAAAGAGATGTATGGTGGGGTGATGTAAACATTGGTTTGAGCTAAGATTCCTATAATGAGGTTGAAAAGATTGCTCTTGAGTATTTAAATAACAGAGAGAAAGTAAATCTGTAATTTAACGATTTAGTTGTTCATAATAGATGGATATGCTGGATGGGATTCTAATTATAGATTAAGAATCAGAGTCTTTTGCAGTAGACCTTATCATGCATTGTTCATGAAGAATATGCTAATTAGACCAACTGATGAAGAATTAAAGAAAGATTTCAGTGGAGATGTTGATTTTTACATCTTCAATGCTGGTCCATAAATTATTTAGAAACCTATTGAAGGAATAAAATCTGAAGGATGTGTTGCTGTTAATTTAACTGAACGTAAAATGGTCATCTTAGGAACACAATATGCTGGTGAAATGAAGAAAGGAGTATTTGGAGTCACACATTATTTATTCCCAAAATAAGGAATACTAACATTACATAGTTCTGCAAATGAAGGTGAAAATGGAGATGTTACTTTATTATTTGGATTAAGTGGTACAGGTAAAACAACATTAAGTGCTGATCCTAAAAGAAGATTAATAGGTGATGATGAACATGCCTGGTCAGACAATGGTATCTTTAACATTGAAGGAGGATGCTATGCCAAATGTGTTGATCTCTCTAAAGAAAAAGAACCTGAAATATACAATGCAGTTAGATTTGGAGCTGTTTTGGAGAACATTGAATATTATTCAGAAGAAACAAGAGAAGTCGATTTCACTAATATTTCTATTACTGAAAATACAAGAGTAAGTTACCCATTAGAATTCATTCCAGGAACTAAATTCCCAGCTTAAGGAGGTCATCCAAAGAATATATTCTTTTTAACATGTGATGCATATGGTGTCTTACCTCCTGTATCCATGTTAACACCAGAATAAGCTATGTATCATTTTATTTCAGGATACACTGCAAAAGTTGCTGGTACTGAAGTTGGTGTTAAAGAACCATAAGCAACATTTTCAGCTTGTTTTGGAGAAGCATTTTTGGCTCTTCACCCTACTCTCTATGCTAATATGTTAGCTGAAAAAATCAAAAAATATGATACAAAAGTTTGGTTAATCAACACTGGTTGGTCAGGTGGTAAATATGGAATTGGACAAAGAATGTCATTAAAATATACAAGAGGAATCATTGATTTAATTCACAATGGCGAATTAAAAGATGCTGAGTTTGAAAATTTCCCAATTTTCAATTTTGCTATTCCTAGAGCAGCCAAAAATATTCCAACATAAATTTTGAACCCAAGAAATACATGGAAGTAATATATTAATATATTTTAGAAATCCTGAAGAATTTGATAAATAAATTCTTGAATTAGCAGAGAAATTCTAGATTAACTTCAAAAAATACGAAGATAAGGCTACTTAAGAAGTTATTAATGCAGGCCCTAAATTTTGAATTTAACAGTTTTATTGTGTATGTTTATGAATTCTATTCACAATTTTCAATTTATTATTTATTAAGTAATTTTTTTATTACTAAATATTTAAAAATGTCAAAAATTTTCATTTCACATAAAATGTATCTTATTGCTATTTGTAACAGCTTCCCAGCACTCTAGATGGTTAAAACTCATTAGCATAAACTCGTTTTTAATAATGCAAACTATTTGTTCGAGATTTACGATATTTTGGGCTCAAACATTCTAGAGCTAAATTACTTAAATCTAACACCGGGGGAGCATAAATTTCCCTATCAACTGAAGGTCTTTAGACCTTTAAACGTAGTGTTAAGTTTCCATTTTGTTAAGATTTATAGTCATTCGATTATTATTAATTATTTAATGGCTTAAGCTATATTTTAAATTTATTTTTTGGTGATGGAGACTATTATCTAATAATATTAGTTGTTGTTATTGATTATTATTATTATTGTTATTATTATTACTATTATTACTATTATTGATATTACTCTTACTATTATTATTATCGTTGTTGTTGTTATTATTATTACTATTATTATTATTATTATTATTATTACTATTATTATTATTACTATTATTATTATTATTGTGATTTTTAAGTAATGTTTGGCATTTATTGTAAATTAAAGTTCATGATGTCTTAATTAGGAAATTATTTAATTTATGATCTTTTAATTCTTTTTCTTTTTAATGGAGATTTTGTAGGACTTAAACTTGTATTATTGGTGGCTGTTGATTATAAGCATTATTGTTCTAGTCTTGATTATTGAGAATCATTATCTTGTATATTTTTTTCTATTTCAGTGAGATTATTCATCAATTTTGTATGTTGAGATTAAATCATAATTTAAGGACGTATAAGTTATTTTTCTATACTATCTTTAATTTAACAAGATTGCTGAGAATACTTAATTATTGATACTTAATTAAAATCATCAGCGATTTGTGGTGTTTAATTTTAAGAATTAATATTCAAAACTCCTAGCTTAAAAGGCTTAATTAAGGAAGACTGAAAAATATTTGGTTCATTATTATCATTGTTTTCTAATCTTGGAGTAAAAGCAACTGTAGATAATTTAGTTTTCTAAGCATCTGTAAAAGATTTTTAGTAATCAGCAAACAATTAATCATAATTAGTTAACAAATCTTGTTTTTTGATATTATTTTGATTCTTTGAGATTTGATGATAAAGTTCTTTATTATGTAATTCCTTCTTGTATCCCAGCTTTATCAAGAACATTAAAAGTGAGATAATATTTTGAAATTTTTGAGATTTTTTCCACTATTAGAATTATTCTTCCATTGTCAAAGGCTCTTCGCCTCCATTATTAAACCAAGGATGTAACATAGCTTAAGTAGCGCTATAACGTTTAGTAGGATTAATTTCTGTCAATCTTCGAAATAGACCGAATTAAGTACTCTAGATTAATTATTTTTTTAATACTCATTCAAAAATCTCTAGCAATTTTCATGCATTGCTAATTAAGATTAAGCTATATCACATCCTTTTTTATAATATGGATGTTAACCAACAAGAAGTTAATACATAATAACTCCAGCAGCCCATATATCTATTGCCTTGTTATATATTCTATTATTTAATTATTCTGGAGCCATATATATTAAAGTCCCACACTATTTTGTCATTAAGGATGACTATCCTGTACTTAATCCAAAATCAGTTACTTTAACAAAGCGAAGATCATTAGTAATTAGGATATTTTCAGGTTTTAAGTCTCTATGTGCAATATTGTTATTATGCATATACTGTAATGCATTTAAAATTGAATACATTATATATTTGGCTTATTCTTCAGAACATTTTTTTATTGTGCTTAATGAACCTAATCTTAATACTATTTTTACCTCCAGGTATCAGCTCCATTTCTATTAGAATCTTATTTTCAGTCTCATAAACTCCAAAAAATTTAACAATATTTGGATGCTATAATTCTTATTGAATTTATGCTTCCTACACTAGTTGCCCATATTATTGCTTTTATTTTTTCTTTATTACCTACAATAAGTTAGGTATTTCAATCACTTACTTTTACAGCTACTGTTTATTTTGTAACTTTATTAAACGCTTTAAACACAATTCCAAATGATCCTTTTCCTAATATTCCTTCAAATTCAAATAAATGGAAATCTACATCCATTTGTTCGTTCATTTTAGAATAATTTTTTTTATTGAATTTACAAATAAAATATCTTTGATACTATGTAAAACTAATAAAAAAGGATAAAAAATGAAGCAATCTTATTCTAGTGCCTCTTATTTGTTATGAATTCAAATTTATTTACAAAAATTGTTTTCATCAATATATCTCAGCTTTTTTTTATTTTTTATTATAAAATTAGAATTTTTAGATGGATATTTAATTTAATAAATTAATAGCATATCAATTGATTTATAATTGTAAAAAAATATTATGGATTAATTTTAAAGGAAATTTGATGTTTAATGATAGAATTTATTATAACATCGAATAATTATGAAGATTAACGATTATATATTGAATTAGAATTATATAATTATAAAAAAAGAATTTTTCAAAAAAATCAATAAGATCAATTTCTATATAAAATTCTTAGATATTTTTTTAAGATTATTTATTAAAAAAATAAAAATTACTAACTAACAAATTTGATGTGAATTAATCTGCATTCAAAATATGGCATAATTTATGAAATTTCTAAAAATAAATGAGAAGAAGAATTAAAATTATATTTAAGAGCAATAAATAAATAACAAATATAAATATTCAATTATATTTTTTTTCTTAGCATTATTTTAGATGTTAATTTAAAATAATCTTAACTTTATTAAGAACAACTTCTAAATAAAAAATCTTTATTTTTTGTATATGAACTTTAAATTTTGATAATTGTTTCTAAGTTTCTCTTTGAAGTAAATATATTGAATAATTGTTTAAGAATATAAAGAACACAAGAATTCATTTGTTAATTTGATGATAATGAAAGCAGTATATTAAACTTTAATGATCCTTTTTAAAATGTTTCCATAAAAGTTGAATATGAGCATGACTATTTGTATTCTTCAGGTTTCTGGTCAAAATATATCGAATATAAGGTTATGAATCAAAGTCATGTTATTGATTAGAAAGATTAAGGTAATGAAAAAGGAAGATTACTATTTCTCTAAAAATAAATGAGCATCAACAGCATGAAAGAATACAATATAACAATTTATTAAAAATTTTCATTTACATTATATTGGAGATAGGATCCTTATTATGTTTTAGAATTATCATATGTTGTTGAATTAAAAAACAAAATTTGAATAGACATCTATAAAATAGACAATTAAAAATTAGATGGGATTTGCCATTTGAGTTTAATAGAATATAATCCAAAATCATAAATATTACTATTCAAAAGTGCAGGAATTAAAAATTAAATTGAGAATATTTCTTTAAAAAGTGGAGTTCTAAATAATATAATTGGTGGGTATGGAAAAGATATATTTTCAAACATTTATCATAGAGTTTTATGAATCAATCTTATAAACCATTTTAGGGTTTATTTTCAAAATTGATTACTCATTACAAACATAAGAATTAAATTTATACGAGAAGATTTTTAATGATTGTAAAGTCCCTTAATAAATTATGGAAAATAGAATCAATTTTAATGTTTAAATTGTTATATAAGTCCTATGACTTGGTATCTTAAACCAATATGCAATAACGAAAAAATTTTGGATTCAGCTTATTATTAAATTGATAGAGATTAATTTAATAATGATGTCTTTATTATAAATTAAATCATTGAATTATAACTTTAAATAGGTGTTGAAAGATTTATCCATTCAATTGAAAACAATTAAAATGTTATTGAAGCCATTCATTTAGGATAAAAAATATATTTATAATGTAAGATTAATTTTATTTTGATGAATAATAAATGTATTGAATGTAATGATTCTAAATAATGCAAATAATGTCATAAAGATTTTTATTTACCACAAATATATAATAAATGTTAAATTTGTCTTTATATTTGTAATGAGTGTTATGAAAATGAAGATAATAGATAATTTAGAAATAACTTACAAGAATTGTAACATGTATTGAATCAATTATAATAATAATCATAATATCTATAAAAAATGCAGATAGTGTGGTAAGTATTGTTAAGAATATATTGTAGGATATTTTTGGGAAATTATTAAATTAATTTAGAAAGAGTTAATAATAATAATTTTACAATTTTATGAAACTTATATAATCATAAAGGCTATATAAATTTATATCATTATTTATGTTTATTAATAATTAACAATAAGATATTAACCATATGAATTTAATATGTTGAATCAATTAGATCGTACTATTACATAAATATATGGTTTATCTATTGTTCTTGGAATAGGAATTTATGTTTCTAAGGAAAATATGGAAAGTATTTATCCTTTATATTTCATATTGATTTAAATGATGAAATATCTGCTAAAAGCATATTTGATTGAAATGAGAAAGGATTTGTTGATGATATGTTTAAAACTCAAAAAGTACATAAGATTTAAGTGGTTTTAAAAATGGAGATATTTTGAGAATAAGGAAGAATAGAAGAGGAGAATGAAAAATAAATTTAATAGTAAAAGGAAATCGATATTAGTTGTATCAAGAGGAATGTAATAGGGTAGAAAGGAGATTGAATTATCAATTATTGAGGATAAAAATAAAATGTAGATGAGATAAGATGAGATTGAAAAAGAGATAAATAGTATAATGTAGAAATAGTAGATTTCTTCAATTTCAAGAGATTTAGAAATGACTATATCATCTAGTAAAGGATAAAAGGTGGATATGAAATTATTTAGTAAAGTTTTTCCAGAGAAGTCAGAGTGAAAAGTAAATTTGAGATTATATCTTATGATATTAATAAATTTTATAATAATATTTAAATGAAGCATAATTTGAGAGAATAAAAATATAATTTAGACAAGATGGAAACTTCAATTGATTATTTAGATATAATTAAATCTAATTTATTTGTTATGTTTCTTTGGGATGTGCAATTTATTATTAAATATTGGATGTGAAAAGATAAAAATAATGAACAAAATATAAATGTTATAATATAAAAATAAATGAATTTAATCGATTAAATATTTACGATAGGAAATGATCTTTCAGGGAGTTAAATATATGCTATATGTAGGAAATGGTATTAAGAATATTTATAGTTTAGGTATGAATAATTTAATGAGGATATTAGTAATTCTAATCCTAACTTCTGTAAAATTGATAACTATTCTCTTTGGTATAATTTAATAGTATTAAATATAGTATTTGTTAAGAGGAACAAGTGTAATTAAATAACATAATGAACAATTTTAAAAGGGAGTTTGGTATACAGGCATAAATTATACAATAAAACTCATTAGAGTAAATTCTAAAAGTTGATAAGTGTAATTAAGCTCAATACGTAAGTAAAGCTCTTTGGGATATCTTAATAGAGTAAGCAAAAGGAGGTATATAATTAGAATATGGTGAAATATAGGTCCTTGCATTCCATTATACACTATGAGTAGATAGGAATCAAATGTAGTACGGACAATGTTTAGAAACCTTAGATTTATGACGAATTAAGATATTGAAGATTTATCACCTAATTTAGAAGTTCCATTAGATATGATATAAATGGAGTTTCTTATTTAAACAGAAGATGAATCATTCATTTATATTACGAAAGTTGTCCCTTTAGCATTTACAATAGAATAATTAATAACTAAAATACTAACACCTCTTTTCGATCTTTCGAATCTTATGTGCTATAATTACTATTCTAAATAATTCTTAAATAATAAAAGTTTAACATTTATTTATGAATTATAAATCAAGTAGCTTTGGTTTCTCAAAAATAATGTGACCATTTTAAATGGAGGAATTAAATTCGATGAAAATTTGGATGAAATTTAAATGAGGGAAGACTTCTAAAATCTCAAAACAGGTTCTACTGAATCTACAACTGAATCTAGAATACCATCCTTACTAGATATTTCATAATAATCATAACCTAATCCTCTTCTTGAATTCGAAGATGAAGGGAATCATAGTAATCTAAGTAAATTTTATTTATATATTATTATCAGTGCTTAAAGAATTGTATGATTTCAAAATAGAAATTAGCACTACACTTAAAAACAATTATAACTAACCATTAATACTTCTTAAATATGAATAGGCTATCGAAAATATTAATTAAATTATTTAATAGATAGAATAAGATAATTGCTTTAAAAAAGAATAATAAGAAGAAGGAACTAATGATGAACTAATCGAATAAGATATATGATTTCATTAAACACACACATATATTCAATTAAATCATAATTGAAATCTTTTTTCTATTATTTTTTTAAATCGTTTTCTTTTAACTCACAATTATGTTAAAAAAAAATCCATCTAAATTACAAAATCAATTCCTCTTATTCACTATTGTTTAATTTTTTATATCAAATTATGTATACTGAAAAAAATAACCTTATTAATAATAGAAAAATATATTCATTAATTAAATTAAAGATGAGAATACCCTAAGCATTTTACGAAAGCATAGCTAAAAGATTCAAAAGACTTAAACAAATTGATTTAGAAGACTTCAGTTGGATAGAAACTACAAATAAACCCTTAATAGAAAGAATTTCAGACTTTGCATAATGTAAATAATTACAAGATCCTAAATACATATGTATTATCAGTGAAACCATTGATAAGATTCTAGAAGCAGGAGTGGCTTTGTTTAAAGAATAAAATTAAAATCCTTGTATTTAATTACTTGGAGAATGTGATTCAATTTAAATTTGGAATTTATGTTTATAGTGTTGTGATTTAATTGTGACTTGTAGCAATCCTAAAATAGGTATTCATTTAAATTATATCGAAAGTTGACATGATATTCAGTCATGAGCATCTATTAACTTTAATATTTCACAATCCAGATTACAATTTGTCAAATACTTAAAAAATTGTATAATGTATTTAATTCCTTATTGAATCTATTGGTGCATCAAAAGCTAGCAAATTTAAAAGTATAATATATAATTAATTCTCCAGTTGACCTCTTTGAAAGAGTATTCTTAAGATTTATGTATATTAATGCATTCTTATAAAAGAGCATATACAATTTAAATAATTTAGAACAATAAGAATTATTCTAATTTTAATTGGATCATTGTATGTTAAAGTTTATTCTTCCTTCTGATGATATGATCAATTATTAAAGATTTTTAGATATGAGCAATTTTCGTAAAATCTTAAAAAATCCTCCTCATTCTCTTGAAATCTAATTTGATTCCACTAAAAATCCTTATAAACAAACCCTTCAAATTTTTGAAGACAATATATTAGATAAAGATAGTATACTTTTTGATTAAGTCTTCATAAGATTATTATGTCATTATTCAGGGACAGAACTATTAATTTAAAAATTGTTTATGAACAATTATATATTCCATTTCAGATGTGTCTTTCAAGAAATTCAAATTATCAATCATAAACATATGTTAGATATAACTAATAGATTAATAGATTAAAAAGATTTTCTATTTCTATTAATACGAATGATAGCTATTAATAAAGATTAATCATTAAATGACGTTTTAGTACAAAGCCTTTAATTTATTAAATCCAAATAAATCCAACTCTTTGAACATAATAACTTTTTAGAAAAGTTATAGTTGTTTGAACTCTAAGGAATACAAGACTTCTTAATGGAATGGAAATAAGAATTTCAAATTGCTGAAGGCAGCTCCTATGAAAATAAATTGTCATTAAGCCCAAAATTTTAATAAATATTTTTTCAACAATTATTAGATCCCTAATTTACATAAGTCTTTAAGAAATAACCTAATTATTAATAGTGGAATAACATTATTATTTAAATCATTAGGAAATCATTTTTGGATGATGGATAAAGTCAACTACCTTTTCACATTTTAAATCCTTTATTGACTTATTCAGTAAATCTTATTATTGAACTACCAGGAAATAGTCAGAACTAATAATTAGATTATACATTAGAAACACAAATCGTTTAAGGATTGCTTGAAATTCTAAAATATTGTTCCAAAACTTAATAACTCTTACTCTAAATTAGAGGGTTTCAATTATTAAATCAATTAGTTACTTATTATAAATAAGAATTTGATTAAGTTTAGATTTAAAATGCTTAATCTGAATTCATGATGCCTGTACCTGAAAGATATCACAAATTACTATCTGAAATTTGGTCAAACAAGATATTAGAAAATAACTTACATAATTCTTAGCTTAACGAATAATTATACATATATTTAATTACTTTGTTAGCAATAAATATGGGAGAGAACCCAGGAAGAGTGAGAGAATTTTATGAAAATTAAAATTTATAATTTCTCATTGAAAGAATTATGGAACTGTTGAAAATATGTTCAAGAGGATCACATTTAATTGTAACAATAATAAATTTATTGATTGCTATAAGTACGAATGAATAAGCGATATCATTGGCCTTATCATCAAGTAATGACAAAGATTAATAAAGATAAGAGAATCTTATAAAGTAGATATTTACAAAATGTTATTTACCCTCAATTGAACTTCTTCATGATCCTTCAGTAAGTGAAGATTTTGCTAAAAAGATCATTATGTTGTATAGTTAAAGTCTATAAGCTAAAAAGCAAATAGAAAAAGTAATAGAAAACACTTTTGTATCAATTTCATAATTGGTTGATTTAAGCAAAGATAAAATTGAAGAAATAGTTAGCAATCAAGATAAATTGCAATCATTTTATGGATATTCAAAAAGTCTTTAAGCTTTGTTGTAATTATTTATGTAATTACAACCTGAAAAGAAATCATCATTGTATCGTTAATTTTAAGGATATGAAGAACTACAATTGGAAGAAGCTTAAAGATAAAAAGATATGTTGTTTAATTCATTGTTAAAGAATTAAAAGTTTGTTGATGCTTTGGAGAAAATAATAATGAGTCCAATTTTAATAGGAAGCAAGAATAAGGACAAATATGTGGAACATTATGTTGGAATCTTATGTAAAAAAGGTAAACTTAATCCATTTACTTCTTTATGGAAAGAATTAGATCTAATATCGTAGAATTATATGATTATTGGGGATTAGAAAATAATTGATATAAGTAAGTTAGTTGATTATGATGCTTTATCAGTACATATGAGTTATAAATATTTCTTTAGAAAGATTATTAAACACATTTCACCATAAACTTATAGAGGATTTTATATTTTAAGTCGTTTCCATTTAATACATTATTTAATAAAGATTTGTGTTAGTTAAGGAGGGGTATAAAATTAAGATATTCATTTATTGATTGCTTAACTATTGCAAATTTACTTCTTGTCTTCCCAACATGCTGGATTTCATGAATCTATTATGATGAATATGGCAGCCAAATCTTAGATATAAAGATTTTAAAATAGTTATGATGAAGATTCTCAAATGAGAAGAAGAATTAGTAAAGATAATTAAATACCTCTCTAAGAATCATGTGTAGATTTAATAAATAAATTATAATTATAAGCTACTGTAGAATAAAAGTAATTTATTATAAAAAAATATGGAGAAATAACATAATTATTCTTTCTCAATTTTAGAGAAAAATACTAACAAATTAAAGAATCTTAAGGATTAAAATTGATTTCACATGTTACTTACATGTAAGACATTCTTAAGTCTTTCAAGTTTTTTTTAAATCTATTTTAAAATTTAGAATAACAGAATTAACCAATATAATTCACATTTATTTGTTATTAAAACAAATCTTTTTATTTAGATTTAATTGATATGATGAAACATATAGATAATGTTTAAAAACTACCATTAAATAATAATAAAGAATAAGAGGTTGTCAAGAAAATTCTACCTAGTTTTATTGAAGCTTTTAATTTACATATAGACAATATCATAAAATAATCAATTTTCAAAAAAATGCTTTTGGATAAAATTCAATTATCTGATTTATACATAATTGATCCATAATAATTAGAATAGATCTTCAATGAATTAATACTTTCTTAAACTCATTTGCTTAGAGAAATGATTGGCTCACTTCTTTGTGGTAATTGTGAAGGTCCATTAAAGAATTTATTAGAATAACTTATTTAAAGATTATATTTAATTAAAGATACTTAAATATAGGATTTAAGAAAATTAGGAGGTTTAGAGTAAATAGATTAAGCACCTCAATAAGAGCACAATCAATTACAATAAGGTAAAGATACAAAAGAATAAAAGAAATCAATTTTTGATAAACCAGAAATTTAGGGAATTTTAGATAGAGTTGAAGAAATGGGGTTTAATCCAAAATTAGCTAAGAAAGCTATCCAAAGAGCGGAGGTTCCTGAATTATCTGTTGTTCTTGATATGATATTTAATGGAAGAATATCAGATGATGAAGAAGATTTGGAAGATCTAATTTTTGAATCAGAAATTAAAGGTGAAAATTCAGAAACTTATCAAATTAATTAATAAATTTAAACTGATGCTAAGAATTTAATTGAATAAGAATAAAAATAGAAAATCATAGCCATTACTGACAATGATTTTTTTTTGAGGATTTTAAATTAAAACTTCCCTTTATTTGATCCATAACTAACATTACAAGAAAGAATTTAGGTGGTAATCAATGATTTTTAATAGAAATTAGATGAACTCATTAACTAACTTTTAGATTAATAATTAAAGGGTTAAAAATCTAATAGTAATCTTTTAGAATATTTATTCACTATTGCTAAAAAATAATAACATATTTAGAAAATATTGGATTATATTTTTGTAANTCTTAAGGATTAAAATTGATTTCACATGTTACTTACATGTAAGACATTCTTAAGTCTTTCAAGTTTTTTTTAAATCTATTTTAAAATTTAGAATAACAGAATTAACCAATATAATTCACATTTATTTGTTATTAAAACAAATCTTTTTATTTAGATTTAATTGATATGATGAAACATATAGATAATGTTTAAAAACTACCATTAAATAATAATAAAGAATAAGAGGTTGTCAAGAAAATTCTACCTAGTTTTATTGAAGCTTTTAATTTACATATAGACAATATCATAAAATAATCAATTTTCAAAAAAATGCTTTTGGATAAAATTCAATTATCTGATTTATACATAATTGATCCATAATAATTAGAATAGATCTTCAATGAATTAATACTTTCTTAAACTCATTTGCTTAGAGAAATGATTGGCTCACTTCTTTGTGGTAATTGTGAAGGTCCATTAAAGAATTTATTAGAATAACTTATTTAAAGATTATATTTAATTAAAGATACTTAAATATAGGATTTAAGAAAATTAGGAGGTTTAGAGTAAATAGATTAAGCACCTCAATAAGAGCACAATCAATTACAATAAGGTAAAGATACAAAAGAATAAAAGAAATCAATTTTTGATAAACCAGAAATTTAGGGAATTTTAGATAGAGTTGAAGAAATGGGGTTTAATCCAAAATTAGCTAAGAAAGCTATCCAAAGAGCGGAGGTTCCTGAATTATCTGTTGTTCTTGATATGATATTTAATGGAAGAATATCAGATGATGAAGAAGATTTGGAAGATCTAATTTTTGAATCAGAAATTAAAGGTGAAAATTCAGAAACTTATCAAATTAATTAATAAATTTAAACTGATGCTAAGAATTTAATTGAATAAGAATAAAAATAGAAAATCATAGCCATTACTGACAATGATTTTTTTTTGAGGATTTTAAATTAAAACTTCCCTTTATTTGATCCATAACTAACATTACAAGAAAGAATTTAGGTGGTAATCAATGATTTTTAATAGAAATTAGATGAACTCATTAACTAACTTTTAGATTAATAATTAAAGGGTTAAAAATCTAATAGTAATCTTTTAGAATATTTATTCACTATTGCTAAAAAATAATAACATATTTAGAAAATATTGGATTATATTTTTGTAACTTTATAAGAATTTAGATCATAGTAGGGTAACGATTTAAATAAAAAAATGAATTTATTTTACCATTCTTTGTAATTGTTAGCACTTTTGTAATAGATTTCATAATAGGAACATGAAAAAATATATTAAAATGTGATTTTAATTGATTTAGAGTGTTAGAAAGAATAGAAATTTGTTTTATCATTTTAGGAGATGATTTAGATAGGATTCACTTTGATTTAGGATATGAATGATTAGATGATAATATAAAACAAAAATGAGTATAAAGAATTAGAATAAATAAATATTTCTGAATTAAGTTACACAGAGATATGCTAAAAGGCCCAATAACTAACAAATGAATTAAATGTGTTATTTGAAAATAAATTTAGTACATTAAGACTATTCTGTAAGGAATTGTAGGAAGCCTAGAAATACTTAATAAGATTTGTGATGAATTAACAAAATATGCATGATTAGTTATTAGAAAGATATTGGAATAATATAGAAATATATATAGAATTTTTGATATAAATATGCATAATGAATTTATAGTTATAAGAAGAATCATAAAAGACTCATAATTTATTAAATGAGATTGATACTTATGTAAATAGTAATAAAGGTTTAAGAGAAGAGAGAGATTCAACATAAAATAGCATTTATTTGAGATAATTGATATAAAGAAGATTTGTTACTGATAAATAGGTAATAACTTAATTATTGTAATGTTTAAATAATTTTGGTTTGCACAATTAAAGTAAGTTATATGAAATACTTACAAAAAGATAGAAACAAGATAACTCTACATTATTAGAAATTTTATTAGGAATGAAAATTAATACAAGTTATATGGAATATGAGGAATCACAACCAGTATTTTTAGAAAATTTGATTTATTTGATAGGAATAGATTGTAGAACAGCAAAGGATTTAATATTGATGATTTTGAAATAGATAATGTTAAATGAGCATATAGATTGGCATGCATAATAGATAAAGAATTTAGAGGAATTGCATCATGTTAAGATGCCTTAAAGATATATTGAATGTCCATTATCATATTTATTATAGTTTCATCCTGTTTTGGTGAATAATCCAATGGTGTATAAGATAATAATTGAATAGGACAGTCTTAGTATAAGTGATACATATTCAGAGTTATCTAGAGTTCATGCAACTAGATAATCTTCATTATAGACAAGTGTAAAATTAACGAAAGAATAAGAGAGATTATTAAAAGAGAAAGAGAAGGAGTTGCTTTAATTAACTCAGACTGATATTATCATAAGATTTGAATTAAATCATATTATAGAACCATAATTGAATTCTAATTTTATTAAGTTGATTGATATTATAGCTTAAACAATAGTTGATAGATTTTTTGAAGAGAATTTTAGATTTGTTGAATAAGTCTTTAATATTAAATTAAATTAATACAAAGATGATAATAGAATGTATCTTTATGGTTGGGATCAATTATTAAGAATAATAGAGATGCTTATTATCAAAATACCTTAATTAATATTATATTTACGATAATTGAAGGTGTCTTTACCAATTCAAGTTGATAATTAGAATAATAAAATTACATTTATAGAATTTATAATTAAATATTTAACTTGGATAGGAATTGATAAACTTTCTAATTTTATGCATAATTACTTAAGTGATATTAATATGTTATCATTTGGTTATGGAGTAATTTTGGGTTAAGAAGTACTCCAATTACTATTAAATGAGTTACCTATTGATTAGAACAATAATGTTTTATAAAAGTTTTATCATGTATTATAATTATTAGTATTATTTACATAAACATTGACATTATAAAACTGTTTATTGATATTAACTGATTAGAGATCATAAATGAATATTGTTCCAATAATTATTAGTACTTTAAATAGTGTAAGGTAATGTGAAAATAAGTAATTTGTTAAATTGTATCAATAAACTATCGCTAAAATATTGGAACCATTTTTATAGTCTCAAGTGTATTTTGAACATATCAAATTAGATAAATTTGGAGATGTATTTAGATTATAGTAAAGTGTGGATTTTGATACATTTCAATTTCATTATCTACATTGTTTAAAGAACTAATTAATTTGTTATCAATTATATCCTAATTTTAAAAGTACTTAAGGTTCAGCTTAACATTTTATTTCACATCCATAGGTTTAACAAACTCTTAAAGATGAACATTAATAAGAAATTGTTTGGCCTTTATATTAGTCTAGAAGAAACTTCAACAATTAAAAAAATAATAATCAAAAATAGTTAGATGAAGATTAAAGTGATTCAGATTCTGATCAAGATATTTTCTAAATTGAAAATAATTAAATTAAATATAAAGCCAATTACTCAAGCATAAATTCTTGGGGTGACTATTATTCATATGAAAATGATTTTATGTCAAAATGTACAATAAATAGAGATGAAGAAAGAATTCATAAAGAAAATCCACATAATATCTTTCCTTAAAAAGATTTAAATATACTATTTTGTAATTTAGACTAGAAAACCTATTATTTTCCAATACCTGAATTTTAGATTTCAACTTAAAATATTGTTTATTAATAAAATGATTATAAAAACTGGATTACATCTATTGTTGGTTTATATTTTAGTTCGAATGAGTATTTTGAGAATAAGAAATCATTAATCTCTAAAGCTTATGAAAACCAATTAAAATATACAGTGGAATATATACATTCTATAAATAGATTACTTTTATCATCTCCCTTTTATCATACTATATAAATTGAATCGATACAACATTATTTATCCTATTATTTAAATGGATCATTAAATCATTTACAAATCTAATCTGGAACTGCATGTTTCTATTCTAAATTTGGTTAAGCACCTAATCAACTTTAATAAGATTATTTAGCTAATTCTTTATCAATTAATATAAATGATACTCCATTAAAATAATAAAGAATTTTAACTTAAATTTCCTGTCATATTTTACAAAGCAGAGTTGTACTTAATGGAATGCCAAAAGATTTACATGATTAAGGACTACTAAAAGCTAAATTATAAAGTCTTATTCATCCAGAAGACATTCTTGCCTTATAACCAAAATTAATAGATATTCCATAAAAAATATTAATTCATCCTGATGAATAGTAACTTTAAATTACCGATAACTTACTATTAGAAATGTTAATTTCTCTTTTGTTAGATTAAAATAACTTTTAATAATTTCCTTTTAATCTTTTAAGATAAATTAGTAAGAGTTCTCGTCTTGGATTTAAATTACTCATTCAATTACTTTTACTATATTAAGAATAAAAAAATAATTTAGAATTAACTCTTCAAATTTTGTATTTAGTTAGTTAGAAAATTCCTTCTAATAATTTAAGAGATTTACTTTCAGAATCATTATAACTAAGTCCAATACTTAATAAAAGAGAAAAGGCCAATCTAGCAAAGGGACAATAAATAAAAGAATAGTTTATAATAGAAGAAGAAAATATAGATGAATTAACTTAAGAAGATGATCTTGAAAATCCATTAGTCTTTCTTATTAATTAAATCAACATTTACTCAGAAAAAAATATTTCTTTTATTACTCTATTTCATAATGCTGAGTCTTACATACCAATTGAAAAAAGTATTATAAATTTATATATTCTAGATATATTATTGACACCTTTATTAGCCAACCAAACTAATTTACACTTGTCTTACTTAATTCAAATTATTAGAGGCTCTCTTATGATTACAACTGATGATAAAGATAAAACTAAAAAGGTTGATGATGAAAATCTATATAAAATTATGAGAAGGTAAGCAGCTATATATAGTGGAGGAATTGATGAAAGTAAAATCTTTGATTTATTTTCCCAATTAAACCGAAATGAAGATATTCAATTTCGCGATTTGATTCTCAAAACATTCGCCGATAAAAATTAAGAGTCTTAGGATTCTTGGGATTAAGCATCGTTTACATTCAAATCACTACAATTTAAACACGCTGAAATTTAATCTCCTTTTAGATAAGTATCGAATGTTTCAATTACTTAAATGTAACCTTAAATACCTCCTTAACCTAAATAACCTATTCCACAATTTCCTATCTCATAAATATCCGTCTTACAATAACATTAATAATTATAATAATTTTAATAGATTAGATAACATTCATAATACATGTAATAATCAAATTAATAGAAAATATAAGAAGATTAAAAATAACAATAATAATAATAAGAAGTATAATAATAATAATAATAATAATAGTAATAAGAATAAGAATAACAATAATAAGAATAGTAATAGTAATAATAATAATAATAATAATAATAATAATAATAATAATAATAATAAGAATTAGATGAAAATGAATTCAATTAATAATTATCTAAAAGGGAAAGAAAAGTTAGTGCAAAAATTTCTCATGTTGAAATTGATATTATTACATCTCTGTGCAAAAGTCTTAATAACCCATTATTAAGAGAAGGAAATTCTAATGAAATTATTAATATTTTGAATTCTTATGCAAATGATAAATTAAAAATAGAACATGCAATTAATGAATTAACAAAATATATCATTCAACAATCAAAAATATTTAACTTTGAATTAGATAAAAAAAGAAAATAACTTCGAGAAATAACAAATCAAAGAGAAAAGATGAAAGATTATGATCCTGAACAATATTAAGTACTTAACAATATAGAAAATGAAATAATCAAAGAGTTAAATTAAAAAACTCCTGATCCAAATATTATTTAAAGATGCTTTATTGCAATTACAGGATTTCTCAATCTTGATTTAATGATTTCAGATTAAACTAATAAATTAGCTAGTAAACCAAGTTCTACATAAACCAGATAATAAATTTAGATGGATAAAAAGAAATTTAAATTAAATTAATAAGGTAAAAGTATTGATACTACAAGTGATATTGATTAATCAGTTAAAAAAGATATTAGAACTAAATTTATTAATTTTTTATAAACTAGATAAACACATCATTTATGGTTAAATGTTGTTGAAACTTTACTTTTAATTTTTAATTACAAAGGATCTAGATCATTAGAATTATTATAGAAAAAACTTTATCCACTTTTAGAATGTTTTTTAAGACTCTATTAAAATGTGCATGAAGAACTAAATTCTTAAGAATATACAGAAAAAATTAATTCAGAGACAAATTTTTTTGAGAGGAATTTAAGTGGTTCAGCTACGAATTCTCTTTAATTTGGATTATTATAAACATAAACAATCCATTTAAAGAGATCATTTTCATCAGTAAGAAATGAGAATGAAATGTAAATGAAAATTGATGAATTATTTACATATTTATGTATAAATGGAAAGAGGATAATCAATTATTTGATTAATTAACGATTATAGTAAATAACTTAAGATTTGAAATTAAGTTATTCATAAAATCCAATAAAATTATTTAAAGAAATTGATCCACTGGGTTTTGTATTTTTTAAAATGAGTTAGATTGTTTCTTTTGAAAATAAGAAACACTTTTTTGAGATGGATTTAGAAACTTTAAGAATAAATGAAAAACCTAATTAAAAATAAAGGGGAAGATAGAGTGAAACTATTGAATTTAATATTGTAAGAGAATCAAGATTATAATAATCATTAGAAAAAGTTTTACAAGTTGAAAAAAATAAATTTAGAAGAAGTGAGATTAAAATAAGATATTAAGGAGAAAGAGGATAAGATGAAGGAGGAATTAGAAAAGAATGGATGACAAATCTTGTAAAAGATATATTATAAACTGATAAATTTGAATTGACTACAAAAAGATTTTATAAAATTAATCAAAATAAAAAAGCTAATGAAGATATGAATTATTATAGACTTTTAGGTAGAATTGTAGCAAAAAGTATTTATGATGGATTATTATTACCTGTATATTTTATTCCAACTATTTTTAAAATGATTCTTTAAAAGAAACCTAATTTTGATGATTTAGAACATTATAATGAAGGTTATTATGATACTTTTATTAAATTTATGAATGATGATACTTAAGTTTAATATAAAGATTTATTTGAATTTTGGATTCCAGAAGAATATGCTTAATTTATTGAATATCATAAAAAGTACATTTTTGCTGATATTCTTTAAGAATATTTGGAGAAAAATCCAATAGAAATTTAATAGGATTAATAAATTGAATAACAGAAATAATTAGATTAACAATAATAAGGAGAAAAAGTTTAATAAGATTAATCAAAATAAAAGGATTAACCAAAATAATTATAATAATAAGAAAAATAAAAATAAAATTAAGAAGTTCCTTTTAAATAAGATTTGATTTAATATTTTTTATAAAAGAATAAAGACTAAGAAGATTAATAATAAAAGAAAAGATCAGAAGATATTACTGCTGAAGATATGGAAAATAGAGAAAAGAAAAGATTAATAAGAAAGAATAAGAAAAGATAATTAAGTGATGAAGCTCTTAAATAAATTAAATTATAAGAAGTATTTTTATAATTATAGTCTAATGTTACTGTCAAACATAAAAGATTAATATGTGAAGTAATTAGTAAAAAGATGATGTTAGATGAAATTAAAGGTTAAATTCAAGTTTTAAGAGAAGGATTCTTTGATATTATACCTAAAGAGTATTTTTCTTATATGGATTGGAGAGATTTATAGAAATTAATTATTGGAGTTCCATAAGTAGATGGTAAAAATTATTATATTATAATTTAGTTGATGATCTTTAGGCAAATACAGAATATGTGAATTATGACAAAAATAATTAGACTGTTTTATGGTTTTGGGAAGTTTTAAAAACTTTAAGTGATTCAGAAAAATCAGATTTTTTAATGTTCTCAACTGGTAGTCCTTTAGTTCCATTTGGAGGATTTAAAAATTTAAGAGGACCAAATGGACCTAAAAAATTTTCAATATCGAAAGATTTTAATTCTGAACATTTTATTAAAGCTCATGCATGGTAATATTTTATTATTTATTTTATTAGTTTTAATAGAATTGATTTACCAGAATATAATTCAAAAGAAATTGTAAGAGAAAAATTGTTAAAATCATTAAAAGAATCAGGATCTGGATTTGATTTGAGTTGAGTTTATAAATATAATTTTTTAGTAAAATATGCAGAGTAATAAATTTCAAAATTATTTTTAAAATAAATTAAATAAATTAATTAATCATGATTCACTATGAATGTGAATTCTTTTTATTTCTCGACTATAAAGATAAGATTTATTTCTCATTAACGAATTAATATTACTTGTATTAGTTGATGTAAGATTTTAATTATCTTAATTCATAAAATTAATCTAATTTAATTTTATGTTTAATGCATTTTTTGGAAAGTAAGGAATTGTTGATTGTCTTTTTTTATGATTTTAAATAGGATTTAAAGGGGATACTAATAATTTTAATTTATCCTTAATTATTTTATTTTGTGTATCATTAAATATAGTAATAGGAGAAATCTCTGTATTACTAGGTTCTACAGTACTATGCAAAGTTATCTAATTTTTAGATTTATTTATACTTCCATTAAATTTAACTTTTTCTGATTTGAGAATTCATATTTTTCATTGCTAATTTCTTATTTTTGATTTAGATTAAAGTTTTTGTTTCTAATATTCAAAAATAAAAATTACAAATCTTTTAACTTTTAATAAAGTTAATGTCTTGATAATTTTTCTAAATTAAATTAGATTGACCCTTATAATTACTTGGAATCCTCAATATGTTTGTTAAGTGAACTTTAGTAATCATTTGCAGATTTTTCCTCAAGTAAATAAGAATTTTCAAATAAGTCATCTGTTCTCACCAATTTTTATTTTCTTCTTTATAAACATTCTTTTAACACCTATCTAGCTATGTTTCTAGTCTAATTATATTTATAATATCTTACATTATTAGAATTATCAACTACTTCTTTATTATTACATTTAACTTAAATCATTGATTCATCTATTCTATTTATTTATTTTGAACAATTAAGCAATGATATACTCTTGTCACAATTCATTTATCTAAGTTTTATAAAGGTTTCAACATTTTTATAATCAATTAATTAGTTTTAGTACATTTTGGGACATATAGAAGAAACTACTGATTAACTTTATAATATTAAAAGATACTTAAATAATAATGATCTTTATGCTTTTATTTCCTTAGAAAGGCTTCTTCTTTGAACTTTCATTTTAGACAATATTCTTTAAAGTTAATTAATCTAAAATGTTTATAAAGTTTTAATTAATTTATATTTAAAGAAAAATTTATATTTAATTCAACAATTTATTTATTAAAAAATGCCTGTGTTTCCTGTGATATCATAATTAGTTAAATGCCTTTTATGTACTTTTTTAGTTTCTGGTATATCATTTTGATTACCTATAAGTTGCATGCTTTTAATTTCTTTGGTTAAATTGACTTAAAAGTTAAGTGATGCTCTAACTTCTTAATTTTATTTGATTATTTTAAAAGATGGATTGCTATGTCGATAATTTTATAATTTCGTAAATTACTATTTAATACTAGCATTTGATTCTCTATTTTCTCTTACAGTAGAATAAGGAATAAATTGTTTTGATGACATACGTTCAGTTTGTGAAATATGTACCTTTTAATAGATAAATATTTTACAGAATTTCCTGAAGGATTTAATAAATTTAAATGTAAAGAATTGATAGTTGGAGAATGATCCATGGATAGATTTTATTTTGGAATAACTTTTCTTAAATTTTGATATAATTTACAATTTCTATAATTTTGAATATAATTCTTCCTTTGTCATATATTTTAAATTAAATTTATGAGATTAATCTTTCTCAATTTCTAAATGTTTATCTAAAGATTTTTAAAATTTCTGAAACGAATTATCTAAAATTGTAGACATTTTATTTTCAATTTAGGTCTCTTAAAATTCCATTCTAAATTTTTATTTAACAAATTAATTTTATCGAATCTATCTTAATAAAAATGAAGTTGACTATATTAGATTAATATTATTACACTTTATATCTTTTTAAATCCAACATTCTCCATATTCACATTATGTAAAGTCTCATAAAATTGTTACTAAGATCTATGGATCTTATATTACTAACATAATCTAATAGCTAATTTCTTATCACATTTTTATTATCGAAGTTTTATAAACTAATCACAATCTGTCCATTCTATTGGTTTCCTTGAAATATTAGGAAAATCACTAATGCTAAATTATTTTCCTTCTCTTCCTGATTTATAAAGATCTTGTTAGTAAGTTTTGAGTTCTTTGATGATGCTTTTTTATGGTTTCATATTTTATTTTAATTTTATAAAATCAATAATATAACAATTAACTTTAATAAATACTTGATTTTAAAGAGGAATTTCTCAGATCATCTATCTACTAAACAATTTCACTTTTCTATTATTACATATTGTTGGTTATCTAATGTCTACCTTTTTTTAAGATTTTTTTTATTTCCTCTAATGAACTTATTTTATTTAATTTATCTTCTAAATGATTAATATGTATTGAATCATTTTGTTGATTTATTTTTTCACAATTAACTTTTACCTAAAATATTTTAACAAATTAACTTTTAATCTATGATTATCTTTTTCAATTGCTTTTGAAACTTAATCTAATCTTTTCTATCCTTATTCTAATTCAGATAAACAAAGTTTCTCCTTTAACATATGAATTTTATTTTTAAAATAATCAGACTTTCTTTCACTTAAAATTTAGTTCTGATACATCACATCTAAAATGTGTTATTCATGTTTTTTAATTTTTTCTACTGAAGTATCAAATCTCTATATTCTTAATTTTTCTGCTTTTTTTATTTTACCTTCTATGCTTCTACATTTATTATATTTAATCTTGCAAATATTATAAATTAAGTACTTATGCATCTCTTAATTAAAATATTTTTTATTTTATTTAATTCCTCTCAGATTAATTTTCTTCTAAAGATAATTGATGTTCATAATATTATACTAATTGTTATCGAGATTTCTCAACTGAGTCTGACATATAATCAATATTTGGATAAAAATTTTATTAATAACTCCAATAAGAATCCAATGCTTATAAATAATCTTTCTCTTTTTATTATTAAAGATAACTTTACTCATTCAAAAATCTCTTTTGTTTTAACTATATCTATTATAATTTTATTACTTGATTATTTTTTTCCTTCAATTGTTAATCAAGTTCAAATTATTTTGAAAATAATTGTGATAATTTCTCTTTATTGGATTGACAGTTTTATGAAATTATTTTTTAGTATTTTTATAGAGTATTAAGCTCTTTCTCCTAAAAATAAATTTTTGTAGAAATTTTTACATGTTATTTAACATATTTATCTGTTTTTGTTAGTTCATTTTACAAAAAATTTTAGATTCTCAAATTAGATGGCAATTCAACTTTATTCATTTAATAATATAAAATTATGAGTCAAACATTCATTGTAACGGTTTAAAGAGATAGAATTTTTGTGATATTTTTTACTTCTTTGTATAAGTCTCTAATAAAAAGGCTTCTAATTTCTTGATTTCTGGAGATTTACTGAGAGGATCCTAATAAGTTGAAGTTCTTTTGGCAGTCTTTTTTTCCAATATTACAGGTAAATATGAGCCAGGTAAACTTAATTGTTTTTTATGTCGATTCATTTTTAACAATAATTATTAATATTTTTTCAATATGAGATTTCAATCAATAAATAAAATTGATATCGATTAATTTTATATATATATTTATATATTAATTGTAAATAATAATAGAAATGGTAAACTATAAAAGTTTGAAAACACATTAATAAAAGTATATTATAATTATTTATAAAAAGTTCTTTTTTAAATTTTTTAATTATTTATAATCATGAATTTTTATGCAATACGATTTAAAATAGTTGTATTAAATAAAATGAGAAATTAATCTGTAAAAAAAGAAACTAGTTTAAAATCAAAAAAACAATCCATTAAAGCTAATATTGACTTCTAGAAATATAGTTTTATGGCAAGCAGAAAGAATTTTTAAAGTCTAACTTGTTCTACTTAACAAGATTCTAATAGCAGCAACTTATAATTTTAGTCTTTCAGACAATTTTCACCAAGTGATTAAGTTGAAAAAATAAGTATGTAACTCATATTACTTTATTAGAAGAACATACAACTAAGTTTTCTTCATAAAAATTGATTAAAATGAACTCAAGAGAATATTAAGATCCCTGCAAAATTAAATAAGGAGTCATTTATAAGAAAATCTCACCATAAATTAATCAGAATCAAGACAATATTGAAGTTACTTTTGTTAGAAAATTCAATCTTTACAATAAATCAAATTAAATGAATGAAAATAAAAAAAGTTTTAGAATGGATAAAGAAATAACTATTCAAGAGATATCTAATCCTAAGGTTTAAGTTAAAAGTACTCGTAAACTTACAAATGATAATGCTTAATTTTAAGCAGCAGTAAGTTAGGGTATTATGAGTTGTTACAAAACACTTTTTATAAATGCTGAATCAAAAAAAGATTAAATATCTTTAAGTATTACAAATCAACCATTAAGTGCTAGAACATAAAAAATCAACTTAAGGTAATACAAATGAATATAACATTCTTCTATATTCATAATATTACATTCACTTTAAAATAAATCATTATTTAATAATAATTCATCAGTTTTAGTGTTTATATTTTTATATTCTCATTTCTAATTATAAATACAATTATAATAAAAAAGATAAATAATAAATTATAAGATTAAATTATATTCACGATTATTTAATCATATTTGTAAAAGTTTCAAGGACTTATAGGTTCAAATTTTTCTTATTAGAATATTTACCCTTTTCTTCTAAAGGTTCTAGATAATGAGACCGAAAAATCAATAAGTTTTGATAATTTAAATATGGTTTAAACTTCAGCTCCTAATTAATTGATTAATTATTTGTTTATTTACTATTCATATTAATTAGAAACTGTAATACCATTTAAAACTTTATCGTATGCCTAAATCAATTTAATAATTATTATTACTTTGTATATACGTTCATATAATTATGAATCAGCTTTAAGATGAATACTTTTGGTGTATATTTCTCCTACTTAGATTTTATTCTCTTTTTTTAAAATTCTAGTATTTTAATAAAATATCCTTACTCTATATCAAAATCACATCTGGATGTTTGTTCTATAAGAGATCGATTAATCTTAGCATCCTTATAATCCAAAGATATTATAGGTTTGGGTGTAAAATCAAATAAAAGTTATTATTCAGATGTCAGGAGAACTTCTTTTAATTTATCTATTTCATTTAATTTAGTTAAGATATTAAACAAATCAATTTATTTCGATAATTGATTCCTAAAAATAAATATAATATTTACATAGCTTTATTCATTAATATAATTTTTGGTTTATTTCGAAATAAAATCTAACATGAAATATAATTAATTAGTATTTGTAAACTTAATTTAATTGGTTTTGCTCTTTTTATTAAGAGATTTATTTAAGATTAAAAATATTCTAATCCATTATTTATATGACTAAGATAAGCCTTTTTTGATTCATCATCATATAATTTAGTTGTTTTTTTAACATAACCTTTAAAATTACGATTTCCCTAGATAAATACTTGTTTTTAATCTGAAAATTTTAATTTAAGATTATTGTCTTTTTAATTAATATGACTTTAGTTTAATAGTTAAACGTGTGCATCACATTCATTATTTTTAGAATCAAGATACTATCTCTCAGTTATTAATTGATTTACAAGATTAAGATTATTTTCATGCATTCTTTTAGATTATTTTTCTACTAACATAAATTCATAAAGTTTATTTGCTAATTCAATCAACACTAAAATACAATTTTTAAATACATTAAAATCTGTTATATAAAGCTAAGATTATTCCTAAGAAGAAAAAGAATATTTATTGCATACCACCTAAATTTGAAAGAAGATTGTCTATTTTAAGATAGCTTCTAAAGATTTCTGTTTTGTATGGACTTTTTCTTAAAATAATAGATGCTATTTCTACATTTCCTTCCTTATAGAATTCAACTCTTTCTCTAATTTCTGATTAGTCAAGGAGATAAAATTTTTCTTTAGTAATTTATTAAAACGGAGTAAGACTTTGATCACTTTCAACATGAAATTGTTTCAGAAATAGAGTAGCTGATTTACTAATTATTGAAGGTAGAAAATTAAAATAGAAAGAATCATCTATATAAGTCTGCAAATAGTTATCACTTGGATTGTAGGGATTCAAAATCTATAAATATATATTAATATTAACTTTATTAACTGTATATAATTTTATTTTAAATGATCCATTTAATTTTACTTCTGCATCTCTTTCATCTTCACTTGCACATATATTAGTTGAATTACATTTCTTGATAGATATTTTCAGGTATGAAAATTAAATGCCTTTTAAAAATTTTAAAATAAATTACTTGAATGTGTTCCTTCCAATATGTATGAGGTATTTTTTCTAATTATTATAATGGAAAATACTTAAAACAAAGAAAATTATTTAAGTTCAGGTCTATATAGGCTTAAGTAATGTTTTTGTTATATTAATCAAAGATTGAAGTAAATCTTTCAAGTGTACAAGGGACTAATTAAATTTACTATTCCTCTCTTATTTTACTTCCATTTATTTGTCGAGTTTCAGATATCTAAAGAACTTCAATCTAAAAAAATGGTCTTTACAAAAAGTTCTCTTGATCTATTTAAATAGCAAATAAAAATGTGGCATCATTTATGACTGATTATGATGGAATTTCCTCAAAATTAGTGAGAACAGTTGCTAAAAGATTTTCTTTATTGAAGAATGATTTTATATTTGAAGAAAAGAAAGTGAGGATTATTATGAATAGCACAATAGATATAAGACCACCAAGGAATGTTTTATAGTAGTTTTTCTGATTCATTTTTAATGTAATCGTTTAACCAAAGATATCAAACTTCGAAATACCTAGATTTATATAATTTATACCCTAAGCCAGTTGATTCATTAAGNATTCCTAAGAAGAAAAAGAATATTTATTGCATACCACCTAAATTTGAAAGAAGATTGTCTATTTTAAGATAGCTTCTAAAGATTTCTGTTTTGTATGGACTTTTTCTTAAAATAATAGATGCTATTTCTACATTTCCTTCCTTATAGAATTCAACTCTTTCTCTAATTTCTGATTAGTCAAGGAGATAAAATTTTTCTTTAGTAATTTATTAAAACGGAGTAAGACTTTGATCACTTTCAACATGAAATTGTTTCAGAAATAGAGTAGCTGATTTACTAATTATTGAAGGTAGAAAATTAAAATAGAAAGAATCATCTATATAAGTCTGCAAATAGTTATCACTTGGATTGTAGGGATTCAAAATCTATAAATATATATTAATATTAACTTTATTAACTGTATATAATTTTATTTTAAATGATCCATTTAATTTTACTTCTGCATCTCTTTCATCTTCACTTGCACATATATTAGTTGAATTACATTTCTTGATAGATATTTTCAGGTATGAAAATTAAATGCCTTTTAAAAATTTTAAAATAAATTACTTGAATGTGTTCCTTCCAATATGTATGAGGTATTTTTTCTAATTATTATAATGGAAAATACTTAAAACAAAGAAAATTATTTAAGTTCAGGTCTATATAGGCTTAAGTAATGTTTTTGTTATATTAATCAAAGATTGAAGTAAATCTTTCAAGTGTACAAGGGACTAATTAAATTTACTATTCCTCTCTTATTTTACTTCCATTTATTTGTCGAGTTTCAGATATCTAAAGAACTTCAATCTAAAAAAATGGTCTTTACAAAAAGTTCTCTTGATCTATTTAAATAGCAAATAAAAATGTGGCATCATTTATGACTGATTATGATGGAATTTCCTCAAAATTAGTGAGAACAGTTGCTAAAAGATTTTCTTTATTGAAGAATGATTTTATATTTGAAGAAAAGAAAGTGAGGATTATTATGAATAGCACAATAGATATAAGACCACCAAGGAATGTTTTATAGTAGTTTTTCTGATTCATTTTTAATGTAATCGTTTAACCAAAGATATCAAACTTCGAAATACCTAGATTTATATAATTTATACCCTAAGCCAGTTGATTCATTAAGAAAATACAATAAATAAAAATCAAATCTTGTGTTTATACTTTTATACTGAGAATTAGAAATTTAATATACTTTATTCGATTTTTTTATTCATAAAGAAATTTACACTAATATTATTTTGATAAGCATATCAATCAGATTAAATTAACTTATATTCTCATTAAAAACATTTTTAAACATATATAAAGAATAATCAATCATTTTTAGTTGTCTTCTTCAATTTATCCTTAAATGTCAATATTTACAATATCTATAAATTTATGGTTTTTTAAATCAATCTACTATTAGAACTCTAATCTTTATTTACTCACTTATTCTTATAATATTTTTTACAAATCTACCTAGATAATATTTTATTTAATAAATTACTTCAATAACATTTTAATATTATTATAAATAATCTTATATCTATATTTTTAACAATTCATTAATATCTTCTACTATATTATTGTTCTTAATTAAAATAAAATCAATAAATTTATTTTAAATTTCCATTTTCTGTTTTGTTTAACTAATTGATTTTAACATATTTCTAATTTTCTGGTATTTTTCTTAAGGGATTAAATATCCATATTTATGAATCATATTGAAAAATAAACTCAAAAAAACATCAGGTTTTGGATTATCATATCTTCTTAATCTATTAAAAAAATCTTAACCATTTTCATATTTTGATAAAATCTTAATTAAACTACATAAATGAGATATATTATGTTCTACTTTCTCATACATTTTTTCAGATGCAAATAATGGCATAATCTAATCTTATTTACATTCAAGGAGATAAGATCCAATCCAAAAATATTTTTCTTAATCTATCGTAGATTTAAAATCAAGAAACTGCATATTAGTAAAACATTTATTAATTACTTCTTGAAGTTTATTATTTATTTATAATTTTGCTAAAGTTTAGTTCTATAAAAGCAATGTTAAACTATTTAGTAAATTAAGGTTAGAATTATATGATTAATTTTAATTAAGACTTATAATTAATTATTATATTAAGCTTTCATCATAAATATTATTATCTTTTTCAATAAAAACTGACAAAAAATGTAGTCGATGCAAAGTACAAAAATTTACTTTTTTCTCAGATAACAAATTTTTAATTTTTTTTTATAGAGATACGAATAATGGACTCTAATCCATTTTCAAATTATGTAATCTTTTTCCAATAGTGAGAATTTCATCGAATTCATTATATTTTAACGAAATAGATTGTTAATCAGAAACTTATTTTTATAAGACTTAATTCCAAATATTTTAGTTTGTCAATAAAACTTTTTCTAAAGCCCATGTTGTATTTTCAATATCTGCTAAAGTTACTTTATCCCATATCTAAACTTATTTATTGATCATCTTCTCCCAAAATTATACATTATTAATATTCATTTTAGCAAAAGCCCAAATACAAAATGAAATATCATCTGAATATTAAAATTTGAGATTTTAGATTTATTTTGTTGCTAATTCCCAAAATTGAATCGAACCTTTAGAAACTTTAGCAAATGAATAAACCATAAGAATTTGATTTCTTCTAGAGAATTAATCAAATCCTTAACCCCAAATATATTTCTCAAGTTATATCCAAATTGAATCACTTTTTGGTTAAACTTTAGAAAAAGCATAAAGAATTATCATAAAATTTTTTTAATCTTAGAATTCCATAGTTTCATAAAATACTTCTTCAATCTATTTCCAAATTGGATCTTCAGGATTTTTTTCATTTGCAGCTAAATAAGCAATTAACCCAATATTAGCTTTTGTTTATTACATTTGTTTAATTTAGATCCAATTTTCATGAAATGATTAAATTAAAGTATTTTATACTTCTTTATTTTAAGTATTTTTTAGAGACCAACCACACATTACATGATCATGAACATTTAATTTTTTAACACTTTTCAAATACAATTATTCAAATTCTTATTATGTTTCTTAATTCATCAATTTTAATTTTTGATAGGCATATATTATCATAGATAATTATTTTCCATTTAAATATTACAATTTATTCATTATTCCTTTGAATTAGATTAAGTTCAAGAATTCCTCTTTTTATCCCATCTTAGCTAAGCGAAATAATTTAAGAACAATTGTATTCATAAATAATAATTAATTAATTAAATAATTTAAATTATTTCTAAGCACAATTTATTTCATTTATTTACTACTTTTGGATGTGTTTCTGCTTGATTTAATTAATCTTCAACTTCTTTCTAAAATTATAAAATGTATATACAGTTTATATATCTAGTAAAGTAAGACATTCACTTAAATTATTAACAATTTAATCCCATTCTGATTCTTCTTTTTCTAATCCTAAAATATTCTCTTACAATTTAGCTATATCTATAATCTTTTATTCTAATTAATTAAGTTCTTTTCCAAGTTATTTAATAGAATCTATTAATGACTCTTCATCTATTTCTAATAAATGTTATATTTTACAATACCATAAAAAGTATCTTATTAACTTAAGAGTGAATTTAATTCATTTAATTAATTAATAGTTTCTCCTTATTTTTATACAATTCTTTAAATTCCTTTATTCCATTCACTATAATATTTTTCAACTTTTGCTGTATGATTTCTTGGATCAGCTTTTTAGATTGGTTTAATTACTTATTATTAAACTATACCATATCCAATAGATTGATTCACCTGAGGTTATTATTATTATTATTACTAAATATTTCTAAGAGAATTCTTTTCAATTAATTATAAATTTTTCTAATTTTTCTCTATTTTCTCCTTATTTAATATAGTTTTAGTTAAGTTATCTATATGTTTCTATGTTTCATTTTTTATTTGCTAAATTGTATATTATTTAGTTTATTGTTATTATTACGATGATTATTATTATTATTATGGCTATTATGACTATAGTAATGATTGTTATTACATTTATTGAATTTATCCACCTTATAAATTAGGTTATTATCCAAGAAATCCTGTTTATTATGTTTAACCCAATTATGCGGTTTACTAACCTAAAAATCCCATTTATTAACCTAAAGGTTATTATGTTAAATTTGTTGTCTATTATATCTAGCCTCCATATATTTAAGGTTAACCAAGTTAATTTAACTATTATCCATGTATTCCTTAATTTTATATTTATCCTATTGGTGCATTTAATTGTTGTGTTTGTCCAAATATAGTATTGGAAACAGCGTTATTACCAAAAACTAAAGAACTCTATCCTGCTAAACCTTATTATTATTATTGTTAAAGTAAAGCATTTTAAGTACCTAGAGTATTTGTAAACATCAATAATTTAAATTATCAAAAAAAAAATATTGAGGCAAAAAATTTAAGTTAAAAAATAAACTATGCTTTTAATTACAAAAGCTACTAAAAGACAAGCATAATAATGTTTTTTTACTTTTGTGTTTCAATTGTTTGTGGATACAGAATTATTCAATTTTGCTAGGACTATCAATTTAATTTTAGCCTATTTAGAAGAAATAATTACTTAAAAATGAGGATTATATGATATAGAACCATATTTTAATTTGGATTATGATTATGATTCAGTTTTATTTTCTTCTATTTCCATTTCTTATTAATCAAAATTAACTTATTTATGATTACAATTTTGAATATCCTTGAACTTCATAAATCCTTTTCTTCTATTTTTTGTTTAGCATTTCTTTTCAGAATCCATTTTTGTTAGCATCATGTCTTCTAATTATATTTCTTCTTATTCATTCTATTTTAAAAATATAATAATAATAAACTTTTATTTCGTTTCCATCTCTATATGTTTTTCTTTATAATTTCCATGGATTGCCACAAAATTGAGGCTCTAATCTTACTTCTAATTCATCAGAATCTAAATAAATATTTCTTAGGGTTGTTTAAATAATGGGCATTTAAGGTAAACATGATTGTACTTCTAATTATGGTAGAAATTTTGAAAAGTTGGCACTCTTTTCAAATTATGTTACTTATCTGAATTCACAATTAATTTAATCTTAGAATTTAATTGCATAATTTTCACTAAATGCAGCACAACATAAACTCTTTCTAGATATATGTAATTATCTATTTTTATAATTTTCATCTTCCACTTATTTTTTAATTTTTTAAATTCTAGCTTAATGTGCTTTAACTTTTGACATATAAAATTATTGACTTTATTCATCAATCAAAAATATTAATTATCTTTAAATCTAAATAAAATTCATAAATTATTTTACTTAAATGTTTTATTCACTTTAATTCTTTCTAATACATGGTGCATAATAATTAGGAATTGTAGAAAGAAATTATAAAAATTTTTATTCTGCAAATCTTCTTGTTTCATCAGTAGAATTACTATATTACATTAAAAGTTCATAATAATTTAAAAAATTAGGAAAATAACTAATATATTAGAATATAATTATATTACAATCTTAATTCCATGATTGTTGAATTTGACTAAAAGAAAAACAATCCAACAAAATATTGAATTTATTAATCATCTCTTCTGTCAAAATAAAATATGGGAAATTATAATATTTTAGTTTTAGTAGTGGAAATACCTTAAACAAATTTTAATAATGAAGCATTTTCAATAATAATTTCTTAATAAGGTAATTATTAAGGTAATTTGGCTTGAAAAGATACATTAAAATCTACAAAATACTCAGGATAAGCAGGATAATTCTAATTAATAAAATAGATATGAATACATTAAAATCTGTAAATGGATATTATTCAGGTAAATAAACTTTAGTGAATATTGTCATATTAGGTTATTATTTTAAACGAACAGAAGCAAAAGATTGATTAGGTTTTTAAGGAGATCTTACTAAATAAGAAGTTGATGTTGATGATTATTCAAATTTAGTTTTTTCAATCATTGATTAAATTTCATCATATTTATTTTATTAATCTAATAGATTTAATTGAATAGATATTTAAGGTGGTGTTAATTTTGGATCATCTAAGATTTAGAATAAAATATTATAATCTTGAATTTCAAAACATAGTCCTTAACCAACAGTAGATGCTATATGATGCCAATTAGTTGATATGGATATAGTATTTGTTTCTTCAATTCCAGGAGGTTATATTAAAAAAACAAGAAGTCTATAATCCCATCTAATTAATTAATGAAAAGTATTTCCTAGATATTCTCTATTTGTGAATACAAATATAACAGCTGATTCTATTTTTAAGACATCTCTTCCACCATATAGATTATCAGTACCTGTAATTAATATATATATATAAATAACCATTTAAAGTTCTAAATTTATTTAAATTGTGGAAACATTCATCTAAATTGAAACTAGTTTCAAACTATGGTTGAATAGTTTTAAGTTTTTGTAAAAAATGGCATACATCATTTGTCCATGTTGAGATTGAAGAACTATACACATAATGTATAAAGAACAAAAAATTACTTAGACGAAAAAAGATGGTATTAATCATACTTATTTTCTGGATTCTTTGATCTCTTTTTTACAAAATATTCTATAGCACTTTTGAAATAATCTAATATAGTGAGTCCATTATAAGTTATTTAACAAGAAGATAAACAATTATCTATCATAAATGTGAAATTCATTTATAAGTGATGTTAAACTAATATTTTATTTTATTTATTGATTATTAATCATAATCATTTTCATGAAATAATCACTTTAATCAATTCTATAAACTAAATCCTAGTATGATTTTATAACTGGAATCATGGATAATCAATAAGAAGACATTAAATCAAAAACAACTTACAAAACTCAATTTAAATTTAATAAATCTAAATCTCCTTTCTCCATTACTCCTAAAACATAACCATCTAAACTTAAAAAAAGACCTATTTATTTAAGATTTATCAATCACTCTACTCATTAAAAAGAAACCAATAATTTAATTTTTCTTAAAACTCTCTTTAAAGATTTCTAATAACCATAAATGTCTAAAACTAATTATTCAACTTGGTCAACATCACATAAATAAACTATATAATCTAATTATATTCCTCCTATTAAAAAAAACTACTTATTGATCAAAACACCAGATAATAATTAACCTCCAGTTGGATACTATAATCCTACTATCCCAAAAAAAGTTAGGGGTTCTGTTAAATTGTTTTCTTAAAACACATCATAACAATCATTATCTCTCAATATATTATTAAACTAAAATGAAAAACAAGTGTCTCTCTTATAAAAAGAAGAATTCATTAAAGTACCTGAAGCTAAAATGTAGAAGTATTATGATTTTGAAAAAAAGAAATTGATGTCGAAATCAAGCTTTTAACTTCCTCTTAAAGACTTAAATGAAAACCCTTTCACTAAATAATGGTCAATATTTTTAGCTTATAAAAATAAATTTAAATTATTAAGAGATCACAAATATGAAGATTCACTTAAATGATTTTATTACTATAATTCAATTCCAATATAATTTATCTAATAATCCTTTATTATTTAAAATAACTTTTTTATATCAAAATATTTATTAAACATGAAGTATTGAAACAATAATTTAAAAATCACAAAATTATTTTATGACATCTCATTTTCAATATTTTTTAAATTAAATACTTCCATTCAATATATCAAGGTTCTAATTTGGAGTTACAGTTTCAAATTTATTTTATTTCTTAAATGATTTAATCTCATTTTTTATAAGAAATTAATAAATTTACAGATTTTTGATTTAAATAATTCATTCACAAAATCAATGTTTTTATTTATTACTTTTTTAAAGACTATTTCTATATTTTAATCATAAATTAATCCATATGAGTTTAATTTTGTTATATTAGTTTAATTAATTTACTAACCAAATAGTTCATTTATAAAATTTATTGATACATTTTTAATTGTTTAATAATTATTATTAATTATGTAATTGAGATTTATTCCAAATTTACTAACTATAACTATTTTTTATGATATAAAATTAACTAAATTTAATATATAACAATTTTTTATAATAATTATTTCTTAAAATAATATATTGATATTTTTATTATAATACTTAAAGTTTATTTAATTAATCAGGTTCTAGTTAGTTCTACTCTTAATAAATCTATCTATTAATAAGTACTTAGTTTAAATTGTATAATGTTTATAGTTTGGAAATATTTTGTTGAAATTGATGATATCGTTTATTTCAAAATGAGTCCAATTTCAATAAATTAAATTTCTTTATATGGGTAATTTCATTCCCTTTTCAAATAATTATATTCTTTCTTGTATTCATTTTGAATATATGAAATAGCAAGAGATAAATTAACATAATATTATTAATTTTATGTTAATTTGTGAATAGTTAGATTCTAGTGATAGCGAGAGCTTTGATAAATTGATTGGAATTATACAATAATTTAAGATAGATAAAGAAATCTTGTAAAATACTCATTTTGAAATTACAGTAAAAAGAATAATTATATCTTTTCAAGAAATATCCAACTGGACTGTTAGATCTCTCTAATGAAATACTTAATTATTTATAAATTGAATAACATTTATCAGAGAGAGATTTTTCGAATCAATTTCATACCATTTCATTTTTAAAACATTATTGTGATGAAGCATGTTTAATTTACACAGTTGTTGAAAAATACTTAGAAAAACGATCAAAAGATAATTATAAAGAAGTACTATATAAAGATAGTATTTAACTAATGTAATTAAGATTAGAGAAATCATTTATAATATACTCTTTAATGTTAGTTTAATTACAAGAGTATGTTGATGAATTATCATTTGATTTATTTCTGGAGGGGTAATTTAATTTGTTTTCATTTAAGACTATAAAAAAAGTTATAATTAAATGCTTAAATTAAATTTGCATCTTTAAGAGTGAGATAAAAAGAAATCTTAGAACATTCCTTACTATTAATTGATGAATTAAGAGAAAATAAATAAATTCATAAACAAAAGTATTCAAGTAGTCAATCAGTAATTAATAATAATAAATCTTTAATAACTGTTCGTTAATAAAAAGAATCTTAATAATAAATATATTAAAGTTCACAGAGTCAATGGATGTTTACAGAATTATAAAACAATTAAGTTTTTTGTAGAGAATTGATACCTAATTTAAGATTCATAATAAAAAGTTATGTTAAATCATTTTAGAAAAATAAAGATGATAGTCCTAAGAAATATAAAAATTCATCAATATTTGACTTAAAAAATAGATTCAGTGTTGGAAGTTAAAGAGTGAGAAATGGATTTATTGATTTACCAAATTTAGGACCAATGGAAATCTTAATGAGTACTCAAATATTTCCTAAATAAAAACTAAATGATTTTTTTGATGATGAATAATTAAAACATACTTAAATTATTACATCCTAAATTGATAGTTTGCTTAATGAAGAACTGCTGATAAATTTAACTGGAATTGAAATGATTGATATTGATTCTAAAAGTGAATCTACCATTTCAAGAGCTACAATGTAGCAAGTATTTAAATAACATTGATATAATATAAAATCAATATACTTTTAACACATTACCATCAAATTATAAAGTTGATACCCCTTCCTATGTTAAGATTGTATTATTTTAAGTGTTTTGCATTGAGATTATTGATTATGGTATATTATCACATTATATTTCAAATGCTTTAAATGCTTCAATGTTAATATACCAACATAAATTATTAGATATAGCAATAATATTTTACATATATTTAAAATAAAATACTTGGTTGCTCTTTTTTAATTTTATTTATCTTTCAGTACATATAAATGAGGTTTTATTAATTTATTATATTCTAATTCTATTATTAATAGATATCTTCTCGAATAGCAACCAATATTCACCAAAATCTAATATTTAAGCTTCATAATAAGTTGTTCTATATCCAACTTTTTTAAAAAGACTTCTTTTAGGTATATATACAAAACAATCTCTGGATCCAACTCTTCTTATTTCATTAGTTATACCAAATCCAAAAAAATAAAATTCATCTCCATTTATCAAAAATGTACATTCATTTACATTTTATAAATCAAATATTGGAACTTAAATTTCTTTAATTAATGTATGTGGAGATTAGATATATTAACAATTCTACCATATTATTTACTATTAAGGGTTTTCAATTTCATCTTATTATTCTTCTTCTGCAAATTTTTAAAAGTTAACTAATTCTTCAATAATTAATGTTGAATGCTGTTGTTATTATTCAAAATGATTCTATGACAACGAAATATATAATAACATATATTTGAATGTCTTTTAATTTAATTATTTAACTAGTAAAATCAATTAACCTTCATCATTTGATTAAACAAATAATACCTATAAATTAGTAGATAAAATGTTTGTATATATTTTAAATACTTACTGATATTGATAAATTTAATTGTTTTAATATCCATATAAAGTTTATTATTATTAAGCTTCTAATAATTATAGTGGTTGTGAAGTAAAAAATAATTCTTTTGAATTTAATTTTTAATATTTTCTAATAAATTATATTAATTAATAAGAATCATATCTTTATTCTTCATTCTCTTTTAGCATTTCCTCAAGTAATGGTTTTAAATTAGGGAATTAAAATTATTAAAGAGCCAAATTTATTTCCATTAAATAAAATTATTATTCTTTAGTATTTTTAATTTGATAATTTGAAAGTAATCTTAAAAATATCAATCCTAAATTGTAAATATTAGCTTTACTAGGATTAATAAATATCTGATTTTAAGTCAAATTTTATGTATATGCCAAAAATGATTTTGGTTCCATATACTCTAATGAAGACATAAATGGTACTGATTTTTCTTAATAAATACTAGGAATATTTGTCTTGTAAATAAGAGAGGCAAAAATAACTGAATTAGGTGTAATAAAAATATTATTTGGATGCATATCTTAAACAAAGATATCATGCAATTTTAGTTCATTTAATTTATTAATGCATCTTTTAATTAATTTGAAATTACAATCTTCTTTTTAAATAAGATCACAATTTTCTATAATATAATTTAATCTTAATTTTCCATCAAATTATTCCATGCTCAAAAAGAAATCCAATAAATATGGATCTAAATACTTACATACTTAATAGCATTCATCAAAAGATTCAAATTCTACATGCACAATTCTTTAAATTAATAAATAATTTTATTAATCTTTTGAAACAGATAAGATTCTAAATAGTGATGGATTTTAATTTGAAATTGGATAATAAACTTTGTTAATAGAATATTATCCAATTAATTCATCACTTGAATTTTGTTTAGTACTAATTTACTTTAATTTGATTTTTTAATCTAATCTTCCATGTTCAAATAAAATTTCAAAAACATTAAATGATGTAATACACCATTTATCTTATGATATGAATATTCTGTAAACATTTTCATTTTTTAAATAAAGAATAAAATATTTATGGTAAATTAAATTGCATTATGAATTTATTCCATAAACATTAAGTCTTACACTTTTTTTTAATTTAAGAGAATACAATATAATTTCATCTTATTAAGTGATGAAGTAAACATCATTAAATTTGTAAAATGCAAAATCTGAATTTATATTTACATCAGTTTGAATTGAATTGAATTAAGTATTAATTTGAAGACAACCATCTTGTATACCAATAATTAATAATTAATTTTGATTATTAATAATATATTTTAGATTGTATTGGATTTCAGTTTGATTTTCATCATTATATAAATATTGGCCATCATAATAATGTACAGTGTTGTTAATAATTGTAAATGATTTTACATTTTAAACTTGTTTTAATGGTTTAACAATTTTTTTATAAATAGGTAATTGTTGTTTTGATCTAAATGAAAATATTTATAAGAATTCATGAAAAGTCAAATTCTTATCAGAGAAGAATAGAACAATTTCTTAAATTTTATCAAATAAAAGTTATTAAAGTAATGAATTATCAATAGAATCTGTTTATTATTATAAAAAGTCATATAATTATTAAGCAGTAATATAATTTCTAGATTCAAGATCAATACTGCTAAAAATTTCTTATAAGTTTTAGATAGAGAAATAAATTCTATCATGAAAATTCTTATTAGGTTATTTTTAAGTTTGAGTAGTGTCTTTAAATTTGAATTAGTCTTCAATTTATGTAGTAGGACTATGTTAGTTGATTTATAATTGTAATTAATAATTTTTTTAAGCAGAATCAATTCTTTCTTTTTTTTGTTATTCTTTAGTGGCCAAATATTATCTAAGAGAGATTTGAAGCATTTCTAAAGTATCTTCAAGTTATTCTGAACTTAATTTGATTGTGATCATTCCAATCATATTTTCAAATGCAAAATAAAATTTATTATCTTAAATATAAGCACTTCCATTTATAATATCAATTTATTATCCATTTTAATCAATTAATTCATATTAAGTGTATGATTTTTGATTTCTGATTGATGTTAAATTATAAAAAATAACTTTATTTTTAGAATATTCAAAGAGTACAGTCTTGATGTTATTATTTGAATTAAGATTAGGTGTATCTTAAAAAATGTTAGTAAGTTCAGGATTAGAATGACATTTCAAGAATTAAACATAATCAGTAGCTTTAAGATCATATAGATATTGTCTATTTCTGTATAATAAAAGTATAATATCTTTGATATATGAATCGATAACATTTTTCTATTTTAAATACAAGGAATCAATGATATTAGCAAAATCAATATTTTTTTATTTTAATTGTTATCTGATATCAGCACCTTTATAGAATGAATTTATGATAAGTATAGCAATGTCTTCTAAATCATTAACAAGATTGCCTCTAAAATCTTTAATTTTATTTTTGATAAGTCGTCTTGAGAATCTAAAAGCAGAAAAACTCAAATCTAATTTAAATACCTTTTATTTATGATGAATCATGTAAACATTGGATGGCTTAATTCTTAATAAAAAATATGAATTACCCTGAATGAACATAGAAATTCTAATGCATAAAGTAGACAGTATTTAAGAGATATTCTAATAAGGGTTATATATCTTCTGGTTATAATTATATATTCTCTAAAGACATATCACAATATTCTTATTCAGAAAATACATAATAATTATTGTGTTTTTTGTTTAATCGGAAACTAAAATCATGTATCTTATAGCTTGCAATTTATTGATAAAATAAATAGTTGTCCAGTAGATTTGCTACTTATTCGATTTATTTAGTGAATAAGATTCTGATTTTTCTGGATTCACCTATATTATTAGTAAAACCAACAACAATACTATAATCATTCTTATTAATTAACCAAACTCTAAGAATAGCTATAAATTTAATTACTTGGTCCAATAAATGTTTGATTATTCTAAATGAGATAAGAAGAATCTCAACATCTGAATGACATCTGACATTATTGACTTTTCTAATAATTAAATATCATTTAGAAATTTCTCTAGGATAAATTCTCTTTGCTTTAACAATTATTCTAATCCTTAGTTTTTTCCTTAGATTTTAGGTTTCTTTTCTCTTTCTTCACCTGAAATCGACATTCGTGATGTTGTATTTTTTCTAATTGGTATTCCATCTGATGAAATAATTGAAACTTATTTTGAAAGTGTGCTTAATTTAGGAAGTTTTTGTTCTTTTGAAGATGTACTTCTTTATTATTATTATTAATTTTCTTATTTTTATTCTGTTTAATCTTCTCCATTTGTTATCTTTATTATAGGAACTGTTTAATTCATTTTTGCATTAGCACATGCTGCACCCATATTTATATTAAATATAAATTATTAAAATATTATTATGAATACTGAAATTGCTTCTTTTTTTGATAATCCAGATCTTTTGGGAAAATCAACATCTTTATGGCAGTCTCTAAATTAAGAAATATATGATGTAAACATTTAATCAATTTTTAGAATGATAACATAGTTTTTGAATAGAAATGTTAGAGAGTGGGTAAAAATAGAAAATAATTGACGCCAATAACAATTTAAGTTGGAAATGAACATTTATATTACATTAAGAAAGAAACTATGTATTAGATATAAATTACAGTTGTTATGATGACTTTTATGAAACATGAAGAATATGGTAACATTATTAGATTATCACGAAATGGGAGATGTATTGATTTGAAAATTGAAGATAGTACTAGTTTTAAGAATCTTTTAAATTATAGATGTTTATAATCTACTTTCCATGAAGAATTTGGAGTTACTAAAATGATTGGTAAAGGAAGTTTTGCAAAAGTATATTTGGCTACAAAAAAATCTACTGGTATCAATTATGCTGTCAAAGCATTTAATAAAGAATTCATGTTAGAATAGTTTAAAGGTAGAGAATCATTAGAAAATGAGATAAAAGTAATGAGAAGATTAAATTAAGAAAATCTAGTTAGGTTACATGAAGTATATGAAACATAAAATTCTATTTATTTTGTATTGGATATTCTAAAAGGGGGAGAATTATTATCTAGAGTGAAATCTCATCCTTTATCTGCACCTAATTTATAGAAATTGATGTATAACTTAATGAAAGCGCTTTGTCATCTTCATTCTAAAAAATGTATTCATAGAGATTTGAAACCTGAAAATTTATTATTAAAAGAAAAGGATAATGATACAGATGTAGTAATAGCAGATTTTGGATTAGCATGTTTTTTAAATGAAGAAATCTTATTTAAAAGATGTGGTACTCCTGGATTTGTAGCTCCAGAAATATTAATGTATAAAGAAGGAGAAACATTTTATGATGAGAAATGTGATGTATTTAGTGCAGGTGTTATATTTTATATTTTATTTACTGGTAGACAACCATTTTAAGGTACAGATTACAAAGCTATTCTAAGAGCAAATAAGAATTGTGAAATCAATTACAATATTAAATAAATATAAACAGTAAATTTATATATATATATAATTTATAGGCACCATTATAATTAGTAGATTTATTAAAAAAGATGTTACATCCTGAACCTAAAGCAAGAGTATCTTCTGAAGATTGTTTAAAACATCCATATTTTAAAGAAATATTTAAAGAATAAGATTTAATAGATGTATTAGAAAACTTTAGAGATTATGAAAAAGATTTTCTTTATGGATTAGGTAAATAATAAGGGTAATTATATATATAAATATATTTATATAGAGCACCAAGTTAAGTTGGATCAATGTAATTATAATCAAGATAACCTGCTTTAAATGGAAGAATTGATACTATGGGGTCATTTTCGAATGTATCTAATAATGGATCAGTAACAAGATTAGATTAAAAACCATAACCTTAATAAAGTAAATTTAGTTAATTCAGTTAATCAATGAAATAATAATTGAATTAAGATACAAGTAATTAGTCATGTTATTATTCAATAGATTCAAATGTAACAAAAAAAAACAATTAATCAGATTTAAGAAAGACTGCTTTAAAAAATTCATTATAATAATAATAATAAATTAATTAAATGGGAAAAGATGAAGATTGTATTAATGAAGAAGCAATTTATTTAGAAGATGCTATAACCAAACTTAATTCTTAAATTCCAAAAATGGGATTGAAAAAAACAACATCTTATAAGGTTCAAAAATCAACGATGGAATGAGATATATACTAAAATCATGAATCCCGTTTGCCTGAAAATATTCTATTTATCATCTTCATCTATTGTTTTGTTTATAAAAAAGAAATCGGTTAATTAATCTATTTAGTATCATTTTATTTCTAAATTGTTCGTTTCAATTCCAAATTTTATAAACATTGTCTTACATATACTTCTTTAGGGTTTTCTACATTGAAATTTGTTATTGTGTCTCTTTTATTTTGACTACTTTATATTCTATATTGTTATTTAAAACCTTAACAAGAATTTCTATGATTAAATATTTCAGGCAGTTTATTTATTTATTATTAAGGACTCTATGTAAATCTATAGATTTTTTAGTCATTAACAAATTAGAATCTATTTCCAAAACTAATCTATTATGGATTATTGCATCTATTATTAATATTCGAACTTAAAATTCGATAATTGTTACTCTTTCTCATTTCATAATCTCTTATTATTTCAGATTGTTTTCTTATTTCTTCTATTTATGTAGGAGTGTGTAAACCTGAATTATCTGTACTTCGTTTTGGAGTAGTTCTATAACCCATCTATTAACTACATTATTTTACAATTATGTTGATGGATTAGAAACTATGCTCTTTGGTTTTAATAATCTTCTAGAATGTACAAATTTCTATTTATTCTCAGGTTTATCTTAAGGGTAGAAAAAATTAGCTGTTTATTAGAATTTATCATTCATTTTTTATTTTATTCAATAGATTATTTTATGATAATAATCAATATAATTATAATAATCAAATACATATTGATGTTAAATAATCAAGTGTTATGAAGATCATAATCAATAAATCATACAACATTTACTCTCAATAATTCGTTTATCATTTTATCCTTCAATTTTCTTTGAAACGTTCTTTCTTAATTCAACTTTTTTTTCACCTTCTGCTAATACAAATTCAGCGCATATTTATGGAAACATCTCTTCATCTTTATCTTCAAATAAAGACAAATAACCAGAACTAAAGTAGGTTCCTAATAATTCACTTGCATCTTTTATTGCTAATAATTCTTATTTATTTTTATCTTTTATATAGATATCATCTAAATGATTAATTATTTACTTTTTTATTTATAATTTCAAATTTAAGAAATCTCTTAAATAATTCTAATAACTTTTAGAAATTTCAGGATCCTTTATTTCTTTTTATTTTTCCTAATCTTTAAGAACAATTACAAGAACTTATTTCATTAAAAATGTTAATTCATCTTAAGTATTACCTATTTAGATTAAAGCAGTTGATCTTTAAACTATTTGTAAAGTTCTTATTTCAGCTTATAAAGAATTTAAAACAGATGAAACTGTTTATCCAACTAGAGGAACCATTGCTAATAATTCAAGTCCAAATGTAATAAGAATATCATCAGTCTTGATTTAAAATCTATTAACAAATCCACTTGCACGATCAAACGTAGATTCTACACATTAAATAAATGTGTCATAATAATCTTTAAATTATTCATCTTCTAATAAATGTTCAACAGCTTTTTCTGCATTCATTTTTTATAATTAAGTTTTTGAAAGCACCTTTTTAATTTGATCTTCAATTTATTTTGACAATTCTTATTATTATTTATTATTCAATTCATGAACAAATGATAAAAAAGTATTTTTTTAATCATTATCAAGTTTTTTATTTCTAGTTTTTTTATAAAAAGATTCTATATAATTTCCATTTTAATTATTCAATTTAGATTCTAAGTATTCTAATTCTTTAGGAGTATAATCTGTTATGCTAAATTATTTGGATTTATAGTATTAATAAGCAGTAAATAAAACTTAAGCACCTTCTTTTATTCTATCTGTATTTAATAAGAGTTCTGCTTTAATTAATTAAGCTAGAATATCACTTTATTCTCTTTCTGAATAAGCATTTACAAAATGTTCTGCTTCTTAAAATTCACAAAGTTAGAGATAACAATATGCAATATCAATTTTATTTTTATTTCCTTTTGCTATAGATTTTTTAAATTCTTCTATGGCAGCTAAAAATAAGCCTTAATCTTATAAACATTAACCTCTACTTTGATAAACATTTAACAGTATATCTAAATTGTCATATTTTAAGAAACAAGTTGAATCTTTCATACATTTCTCATATTGTTGATCATAAATCAATGACATTAATAGAAATTTAATGGCAGTTATATTTTGAATTTGATCTGATTTATCACATTAATCAAGATGAGAAATAGCTTATTTATAATTTCCGAGTCTAAAGTAACATATACCAATATTTAAATGAAATTGATTTTGATATTATTGTTGCTGAAGTATTTTGGATTCATTTTGTTATAACAATGTAAATGCCTGTTCAAATTTTTTTAGTTGTATAAGTTTGTCACTTTCAGCCAAGATGGGATCCATAATAAAAATAATATAACGAAAGCAGTTTTAAAATTTAATTTTTAAAGCAAAAAATATTAAATATGTAGTCAAACAATCATTTATTCAAAAGGGAACTATGCTCTGCGTGGTTTTCTTTTTATTTTTTTTAAGATTTTCTTATAAATATTATTTAATGAAATATATGCCTCTATTATTACAAGAGTAGCTAAAGATGAAGATAATAATGCAATTTGACTCCAGGAAATAGTAACTTTATTTTAGTAATTAATTGAAGCGATTAATTCTTCCCAATAGCAAAAGTTCATAATAATTGTAAGTAACATTGAGGCTTCAGCATTAATTGACTTAAAGAATTGAAGTGACATGCCTTTTTATTGACTAATTAAATAGGTCATATAGAAAGTTTAAATCAATGCCAATAATATAGATTGTATAATTTAACTTGATTGATAAAATACTAGTGTTAAAATATATGCAAATTTTTTAATAATAATAACGCTATTTTGTTATCTGTTTTTTTTTGGTTGTATGATTACAAGTGTTGTGAAAACAATAATGGAAATAGAAAAGAGTTTTCTATAGAGATCACAATTGACACTTAATTGTATACAGGAAATGAATAATAAATCAAAACTATTAGAGTAGATTATGACTTGAAAGCCTTATTTGGCAAAATTAAAGTAGAGTTTTGAAATAATTAAGGTAACAGAGTAATGTAATTTGAATTAGAATTGCCATAACATAGGTATATTTATTTTATAGAGTTTTTAGAGAATGTATTTACAAAATATTCTTGAAATAATGATTATGATAATCATAATGAGGAACAATTATAGATTGGCTGCAATATCAGCATTAATTTCATATTCTTTAAATTTATATTTAGTTTCTATGTAATCTAAATTTACATAATTGGAAGTGATTGTATTGAGATCAAGGAATTATAATAATGGTTAAAAAGAAATGGCATTACTAGATTCATAGTATATTTTTAAATTTTATGGTAATTGTATGTTGATAAATTTAAGATAAGATTGCTACTACAAAATATCTAAAATATCAAGAAAGACTCCAACTTTGCCTAAAAGTAAATAGATTAATCCAATCCCACAGGATAAATACATAATGATCTTATTAATAGCTTAAATTTATGAGGAGACAGTAAGTTAATTTTTATTTAAGAGTTTAGGTTAATTTAATTTGATAGAGGATGATAATTGGGATAATGGTAATTCTATGTGATTATAAAGTTGTTGATTAAGATTAACTTGAAAGATGAGATCATTCTATGTAGTTTGGAATATAACAATTTTGAATAAATAACAGACAGACTATAAAGTTGAATTGGCTGGCAATATTTCTATGATATTAACTTAAAATGCATCAATACTAAAATTGTGTATAGTAGTATTGATATATTAGGTGTAATTAAGTTAATCAGTTTTAACATATTGAGTAAAAGTAAGTTAAATATATTAAAGATCATATTCTTAGGAAATATAGTGTAATTAAATTGAAGGTGGTACAATATATTGACATTAAGTAAAGGAATCTTGAGAAGGTTAAGAACAGAGCCAATCGGTTTCAATAATACAATTAGAATTACATCCATCTTAATTATTAGAATTAAGATCATCACATTCTTCATTTGGGAATGCTACTAAACCATCTCCGCATTTAGATATACACATTTGACCAATTAAATAGAAACCAAATATACATTTATGACATATACCTTATTCACAAATTTAACAATTTTAAGGACATGAATAATTACATTAATAACAACCATCAAATTCTATAAAATTACCATCATCACATTATTCATGATATGTAATAATCTTATCACCACATAATGGAAGACATGTTTAATTCATTAAATAATATCCAAAATCACATTCATCAATACACACTCCTTTTTCACAAATTTTACATTCTTTATAACATTGATATTTGCATTTATAACATCCATCATAAGGAATATCATTCCCATCATCACAATCTTCGAATCCTTCTGCTAATAATCCATCTCCACAAATTACTAAACATTAATCTTTATACAATGTAAGTGGATGATAACAATTATAACAAACACCTAAATAACACGCTGAACATCCTTAATCATCACATTCTAATTTACAATTATAACAACCATCAAATTAAATATCATTTCCATCATCACATTCTTCTACTCCTTATGCTATTATTGAATCTCCACATTTAAATTCGCAATTACCATTCATTAATATCCAACCATCTTAGCATCTCATACATTATCCAAATTTACAATCTAAACATTAATCCTAACATTCATTCTAACAATTATGACATCCATCAAATCTTATCATATTCCCATCGTCACATTCTTCCTCTCTCTAAATCTACCAATCTCCACATCTCTCTATACATTTATTATTCTATAATTCAAAACCAGATCTACATTATTTACATCTACCAAAAATACATTATTTGCATTCCTCTTAACATTAATATTTACAATTCTTATTGCAATTCTTTAATATACCAATCTCACATTCCTCATTACCTGCTATTATTCCATCTCCACAAACTGTTTAACAAGTTCCTTACCAATCCAACTAATACCCTTTTTTACACTTTATGCATTAATTTTAATAATTAAATTCTTTGCAATCTTTCTCTTTATATGTTAGTATATGTATATTATCTTGTTTTTATACTATTTGATACTCAATCTATTTATCTAATAATTAAAATTGTTAATATATGCATTAATAGTTAAGAATATCAAAAACCCAACCTTCTTAACAATTTATACACATACCAGTTATACAATTTGAACATCCTTCCACACAATAAAATTAACAATTAAAACAACTATCAAATGCATATATGTTTCCATCATCACATTATTCATTATAATCTACTATACCATCACCACAATATGAAGGTGTTGTGTCTTTAATTAATAAATTAACTATTACATCCATATATTTAAAAATCTCTGATACCAAAATATCTTCCCTAATTGTATTATTAGCTAGTTATTAACACTGTTACAAATTGTCCATCATGAGGATACTCTATTCCATATATATGAAATTAATCAGGATAACTAGGATCTCCACAATAGTTCTTTTATGTTCCTCCACCATTATATAACATTTGATAATTCGCATTCTCTATTTTGAATGTACCATATTCTCCTGACCAATTGTCTATTTTTATGAATCTATAAATAAAATATAAATTAGAATGAGCTCCTAATTAAAATGTTTTTTATAATGCCCCTCCTACTGTCATACTATTATACCCTCCATACATTGATATTGATGCACAATCTGTAGGACCAGATACTTATGTTGTTTGCCATCCATCAGCATTAAAATCTCTCAAATCTTTACTCATCCAACTTTCATGAAATAATTTCCATTAAGAACATTCAAAAACTTAAGATTCCTAAAAACAAATTTGGCATCCTGGTGGACATGTATCTACTGAAAGTACCAATTCACGTATACCCCAATAAATCTACTCTATATATCATAATTACTGATGTAGAATCTATTGAACTAAATATTGAAATTATTGTTGTTGGATAAGAATGAATTAAACTTAAATTAATATTATAGCTATTTTCCACCTAAGATTATCCACATAAATCATTTGACCCCATTGGTATAATAAATTAATTAGGCAATTAATCCACCATCACATTTATTGCTTATGGCCATGTCATATCAATTCTAAAATCACTTAAATAATTTTATACATATAAACTACTAAAGATAGATAGAGCTTGTAATGAGGCTCAAGGTTGAATAATTTATTTATTCCAGTTGACATATCGAATTCATGGTTACCTCCAAACAGTTGGACATCTCTGCATAAAGAATAGCCTTAATTATAGTAGTTAGAAATTTGCCAACCTATAAATATTTTCATCTTTAACCTTAACGATCAATAAATGGAGTGGTTTAGGTGAAAGAGGTGGACACAACTTTTTTGATTCCAGTCACACATTGCACTATAATCCACAAAAATCCAAATTACATCATTTAAAAATAATTAACATTAAAGTTTAATTCTGGGGACCTTAAACATTAATTAATTTTGTTGACTTATTTCTGCATACTATATGTACCTATTTAACTCTATTACATTATATCTTTTTAGAAAGCAATACAAACAATGTTTAAACATTTAAATTCAACATGATCCTTATTTTTATTATAAAAAAATATCACAAGAAACTAACTTATTTCAATGAGTTTATCTCAATAATGATGAATTCATTAACTAATTATAATTATATACTAATATCTAAACTCTTCTTGATAAACAAAATGCAAAATTTCAATGAAATATTTACTAGTAATGAATTAATTGAAATTAAATGTAAATTATTGGAACTGCCGGTATAACGTTGACGGAATGAAAATAAATGGGAAAAGAAAGGAAAATTCAATAAAAAACTACAAATAGACTCTTTATATTGTATAAAATTTAATATATAAAAATAGTATATATTAAATACATATTATTTTAATATATATATTAACATCATTTTTTTCTTTCCAAAACCACAATGTCTGATTAATCTATGTAAATTATGATATCTGATTCTTAATAACTTACTAAAATATTAGTTGAATTTACTTGTTACTCTATTGAGTGATTATTTATCTAATATCTTAGCAGTTGATGACACGATAGTAGCTATGAATGGAATTAGTTTAGGGTTGTCTAAAGTACCACTACTCTAAATATTAATATAATTTATAACCTTTTTAATTCTGCCGTTGCATTCTAATATCATTTATCCAATAATTCCACTTTCATCCATTTCTTTATTATAAATAATATGAATTAGAGAACTTTTGATAATAATAAATTAGCATCTAAACGATTAAAAAGTCCAAGAATTTTCAAAACAGAAGGGAATCATTTGTAGTATAAGAAAGATAAAAAAAGTATTTTGGTTAATAAGAAATAGGTGATAACTAATCTAAATCAAAATAATGTATAAACAATAAACCTGGTTTGATATAGAGAGATACTAGTGAGAAACAATCTTAATTTGTATAAAAGAGTAAAAATAATACATATTTTGAGGATTGATCGTTAATAATTATTCATAATAAAGCAGATAATAATAAAATATTGTTCACATAAAATACAATTCATTTTTAGACTCAATATTGAAATTAAACAAATCAAAGGAAATGAGTAGAGTACCAATGAGATCTCGTAAATAAATGTGGCATAATTATGTAAGTAAATATGTTTCATAAACATAAAAGATAAATCCTGAAGCTTCAGTTCCTGAGAGAAGAATTCAAAGTTAGATAAATATATTAAAGACAGAGGATTCCTACAATAAAAATAGATCTACAGCTTCATTATATAGTGTAGAACCTTAAGATACTCTCTAATTTAATTTAAAATATACTCATAAAACTAAATAAGGCTAAATAGCTAATAATCCAAATAAAGTTAATTAGGATATTTGTTATTGTTAAACTAATTTAATTGAAAATTTACATTTATTTTTTGTATGTGATGGACATGGTCAAAATGGTCAATATGTATCAAATTTTATAAAAAATAATCTGCCTAATAACATTATAAAAGATAAGATTTAATTGTAATCTTGCTAAATAAAAGAAGCACTTAAAATATCAATTGAAAATATATCTTTAAATGTTAATTAATAAGCTTTTGATACTAATTTTAGTGGTTCTACATTGAATGGTATAATATTATAAGAGAATGGGAAAATGTATTCATTTAATGTAGGAGATAGTAGAACAGTGATTGGTAAATTTAATGGATATGGATAAAAGTTTAAACCTTATTAATTATCAGTAGATCATAAATTAACAATAAAAAAAGAGTAATATAGAATAATATAATAAGGAGGGAAGGTTGATACATTTTATGATTAAAATGGTAAATAATTTGAAATGATGAATCAGGTAATCCGATTGGTCCATTGAGAGTTTGGATAAATGGTAAATAATACCCAGGTTTAGCAATGAGTAGAAGTATAGGTGATTAAGTAGCATAATCTATTGGAGTAAGTAGTATTCCAGATATTGTTGAATATTAATTGGGATTTAATGATAAATTTATTATAATAGCTTCAGATGGGATATGGGAATTTTTAGATAATTAGATAATTGTTGATATTATAGGGAAATATTACTAATTAAATAATATAGAAGGTGCAAGTGAAGAATTATTAAGAGTAGCATATGGAATGTGGACAATAGATGATGATTCAGTTGTTGATGATATCACTTTTATAATAATATTTATTTAGAATTAATGAATTAATATTATATTACTCTACTATCATTATTATATAATAACTCCACTAGTATTACTGCCACAAGAAATGGATGAAACTTTATTTTAAACAAATTATGATACTACAATAGGTTTATCTGTGAATGATCTATAGGTTATATTTAAATATTACCTTTTTTTATTTCCTAATTATCCATATTCATTATCTCCCCATTCTAAGATAGCACCAACATTTGTAAGTGCCATACAATGATTATATCCACATTCAATTTATTACACTTCTACATTTTCTTATTTACCATTAATATTGATTTTAAAATTAGATAATCCTTCTAATTTAACAATATCACTAATATGTCTAACAAATCCACAACCTAATTATCCTCTAATATTGTGACCACAAGCAAATACTTCAGTTTCAGAATTTTATTTGTTTTTTGTTACAAATACACTAAATTCATTTCCAGCAGCCAAATCTAAAACTTAATTATTACTATCCATTAAAGCAGATATTCTTAATGGATTATAAACAGCAATTAATGGTTCTCCAACTCTTGAAAATTCTTCTGAATGTGATAATTACATTTAAGAATTTGATCCCCATCCATAAACTGATCCTTCTGCACTAATACATAAAGTATGATTTGATCCACATATTATTTTATTTACTTTTGGTAAATTATCTATTTTCGTTGGATTTCTTATTCTTTATTCATAAAATGGTGGTGCTGTGCTTCTATTATTAGATCCTAATCCACATTAACCATATGTATCATCACCCATTGTGAATATAGAACCATCATTAGTAAGTGCTACAAAATGATCTTCTCCACATTCTATTTATTTAATGTTTTATAAACTATTTATTTTTTTAGGATTATTTACGAATTATCCATCTTTTATTTAATATTAATAAACATCTCCATTATTAGTTAATGTCCATACAAATTATTTAGTATATTTAATTTATTTAATCTTTCCTTTAGGTACATTTATTTTAATAATATTTTGTCTTTTTCCATCATTAATATTTTTATCTTCTTAACTTCCTAATTTATGAGAAGTCCAAATATATCCATCTCCATTACCTGTAATACCACTTTCAAATTATTCTGATAAAAAAAGTTTCTATAAATTCTTATCATCAAAATCAATTAATTATTTTGGAGTAAAATTATTAAAACTTAAACCTTATCCAGGAATAGCTTAATAAACTCCATTTCCCCAAATAAATGATTTAGTCTTCTCATTACAATAAAGACTATATGATCCAGCACTACATAATAATAATGATAATCCTAATTTACTTAATTTCATAATTAATAATAATTAAAATTTTGGCTGTTAGCATGTAACAATATTAAGTTGGAAGAAGGAATCCATCATGTAAAATTTATCCTTTACAAATTAGAACCATAATAACAATCTTTAAAATACAATCAATATCAATCAAGATCACCATTTTCAAGTATCGAAAATACCTAAAATTCATAAATCCCATCTAATAAATTTCATCACAAAGCTAGCACTGATATTGATTCTATCAATAAAACTACTTCCATTACCACCAATCCATATTATAATTAATATCTCAAAAGATCATCTAATTCTAGTCATCAAGATAAACCTCCCGTAATTTATTTCTTTATCTTAAAAATAGTCATTGTAATATAGTAATTCCAAATCTAATATAAATCCAAATTAATCACATGACTATTCAATCTAATTTAAAGTAGGAGGTAAAAATGATAAAAAAAATGATTCAGTCAACGAAACTCATTTATCTTAATTTATTAATCCAACTAAATAATTTGTATGTATGAGTCCTGCTTAAAATCGTGATAATTCCATTATTTTTCAATCTCCTAAATAAACCCAATAACCAACTACTATTATTCAATCACCACAACCTTATAATCTAACTAATACTCCTCTTTATTATAATAATAAAGGATCATAATCTTAACTTAAAGCTATCAATTATAATAATAATCCTAATCTATTAAATGAATTAAAATTATTACAAGATTCTAATAATCTTATGCAACAAAATATTCATTAAATAGAAAGTGAAGTTTCAAGAGGATAATCTTCTTAATTTATTCAAGAATTAGAATAAAAAATCAATTTACTCAAATAACTCAATGAAAAATTACAATTTGAAAATTAATCTTTAATTGAGTAAACTGATATTTATAAAATTAAAGAACATTTAGAAAAATCTTAGTAAACTCGTAAACAAACTTCATAATAACTTTAGAGTATTAAAAATGAATAATAGTAATACCAATTAAAATGTGATGAGTTATAAAATAAAATTGATTAAAATGATGATTCCTAAATTAAAGACTTAGTTATTGAATTAGAAAGTAAGGTTTAAAATCTTATTGCCGAAAATGATAGATTAAATCAATAATTACCTTCTAATTCTAATCTTTAAATCATTTCTGATATTGCAAGACTTAAGAATGAAATTGAAAACTTAACTAAATAATAATAATAATTAAAAAGAGAAGAAGATCATTTGAAATTAACATATAAATAAATTGAATAAATTTATGAGTAAAAAATTGCAGATAATTTATATGCTGATCTCAATGAAAAAATCTAACTATTAATTGAAGAAAATGAAAGATTATAATAAGTTATTAATGATTCTGAATATACAGACTAAGATCTATAAGATATTAAATCAAGAGTAAAATATCATTATATCTATCTAGATTAAGGTTGTTAAATAGGATAATTTTAAAATGGAACAGTAATTAAAAAGAAAAAATCATAATAAAAATTATTGATTACTTTTTTCCCTTATATAAATATCAATTTATTAGAATATATTAATATTATCATTTTTTCTTTTTAGGTTAAGACTTTGACTTTTATAATGTAATTTAGGTTTATTGCAATAGCAATTTATCTTTATCAGCTTAAGCTTTCATTTAAGGTTTAAAATCAAAAACTTTGACTATCATAGATGAATTATCTCTTTCCTATAATAGAATGTATGTAAAAAATACTTTTTTACTAATTAACACAGAATCTATTCTTTTTAATTATGGAAGTACATCAATTATGTACAATCTAAAGTTGATAATTTACTCAATTTGATTTCCATATATCTTAAGAGATCTGAGTTCTTGCAGATGTGATAACTATATACATATATAAAATTTAATACTTATTTTAATTCATTGATATCCTTTATTAAATTAAAGTTGAGATATAATGATTATAAATGAGGTAATTCTTTGAAATTATAATCTAAAGTGGTCAATTGATTATATGATAAATCTATCCATCTAAGTAATTCTACATTAGGCATTACAGTTTGCATCACTTGATAAAATCCACTGAGACTTGTTAATTTATTTTAACATAAGATTAATGATTAACAATATAATTCAGGTTTAAACTTTGATTGCTAATTTTGATTTTTGTTTTCCTATAATTTACCACCTATTATTTTTCCATTTAAAGGTATATTTTATAAAGTAATTAATTATGTTGCAAGATTAGTTTATGGAATTAATTAATTAGGTGGGGGTTATGGTGCATTGCCTTTTTTATTATCTTGTTATTTTTATGGTTATTGCTATTATGGCTAAACTGGTTCTGTTTCTTCAGGTAATGATTATTATTATTTTAGCACTTGTTCTTTTGGAGTATCATTTTTTACTTCTTAGTTTTCTTACTTCTTTTACTCCTTAAATATCCATTACTCACCTTCTCTTGGTTTTACTTCTTTATTTTTTAATTCTTTCATAATAGTAGTTACAAAATATACCTTCGAGTTTCTTTATCTCTTTAAATGAATAATCTAAAGCTGTTCTAAGTTTTTTGGTTTCTTTAGGTTCAGCAGATAAACTTTATTGTTGTTTTCCTGGAGGAGGCGATTTAGTTTTTGATTTATTCATTATATATATTAATAAATATATTCATAGNAGATTAAGGTTGTTAAATAGGATAATTTTAAAATGGAACAGTAATTAAAAAGAAAAAATCATAATAAAAATTATTGATTACTTTTTTCCCTTATATAAATATCAATTTATTAGAATATATTAATATTATCATTTTTTCTTTTTAGGTTAAGACTTTGACTTTTATAATGTAATTTAGGTTTATTGCAATAGCAATTTATCTTTATCAGCTTAAGCTTTCATTTAAGGTTTAAAATCAAAAACTTTGACTATCATAGATGAATTATCTCTTTCCTATAATAGAATGTATGTAAAAAATACTTTTTTACTAATTAACACAGAATCTATTCTTTTTAATTATGGAAGTACATCAATTATGTACAATCTAAAGTTGATAATTTACTCAATTTGATTTCCATATATCTTAAGAGATCTGAGTTCTTGCAGATGTGATAACTATATACATATATAAAATTTAATACTTATTTTAATTCATTGATATCCTTTATTAAATTAAAGTTGAGATATAATGATTATAAATGAGGTAATTCTTTGAAATTATAATCTAAAGTGGTCAATTGATTATATGATAAATCTATCCATCTAAGTAATTCTACATTAGGCATTACAGTTTGCATCACTTGATAAAATCCACTGAGACTTGTTAATTTATTTTAACATAAGATTAATGATTAACAATATAATTCAGGTTTAAACTTTGATTGCTAATTTTGATTTTTGTTTTCCTATAATTTACCACCTATTATTTTTCCATTTAAAGGTATATTTTATAAAGTAATTAATTATGTTGCAAGATTAGTTTATGGAATTAATTAATTAGGTGGGGGTTATGGTGCATTGCCTTTTTTATTATCTTGTTATTTTTATGGTTATTGCTATTATGGCTAAACTGGTTCTGTTTCTTCAGGTAATGATTATTATTATTTTAGCACTTGTTCTTTTGGAGTATCATTTTTTACTTCTTAGTTTTCTTACTTCTTTTACTCCTTAAATATCCATTACTCACCTTCTCTTGGTTTTACTTCTTTATTTTTTAATTCTTTCATAATAGTAGTTACAAAATATACCTTCGAGTTTCTTTATCTCTTTAAATGAATAATCTAAAGCTGTTCTAAGTTTTTTGGTTTCTTTAGGTTCAGCAGATAAACTTTATTGTTGTTTTCCTGGAGGAGGCGATTTAGTTTTTGATTTATTCATTATATATATTAATAAATATATTCATAGTACAAATGTATTGCATAATTCAGCAATGTTGACTTAATGTTTTTTTAGATTATAATTTTTCAATCAATTAGTTTTACTCTTATATTAATTATAGTAATTTTTTTTTTTCAGTTTTTAAAGCTTAATTTTCTTAATAAACTTTGTCTAATATAGATTTGACTCTATTAAGTGTTTTTTTTAGGTCTTAATTGATTTGATTATGAAAATGGATAGAACGATGAGGAGGTGATAATAATTTGTTATAACTTTTCATTTAAAAACTACTCCTATCATTTTCTTTATTCTATAAAGCTTATTTACGATTAAGTGATTCAGAGAGTAACTTTTAAAATTGTTGTAAACATGAATCCTTTTTGAGAGTTTATTTTGGAGATTGACAATATAATGTTTGCATATATGAAATAATTTTCGTTAATTAAAATTAATAAAGAGAATTTATCTTCATTCATTTATTGGAAATTCGACTTGATTAAGTAGGTATGTTGGATTGATTAAGGTTTTATTTATTGTTCAAATACTCTTTAAAAACATAAGCTTCTTATAAAAGCATTTCAATATCTAATTCAGTCCAATCTTTAGTTGGAAGGTTCTATAAAAAGATAACTGCTTCACCCATACTTTTATTTTAAATCTAGAATGAAAGGAAGTGATACTTCAGGTGCACATTTAAGAATCAGATTAGAGACAGTGTAAATATGAAGATTGGCCATATTATCTCCTTCTGATAGATATGTATCCATTAATCTTATGGCTAAATAGAGTGGGAATTCTCTAACAAGTAGACAGATAACCCATCTGAAGGCAAAATGATTGAAATCTATCTGTTATGAATTGAAATAATCTAAAATTGATGGATCAATCTGCATAAGCTTACATAACTTACTGTACTTACAATGCTTTTAATTTTTTAATAGGCTAGAGATACACCAGGTTAATTTTATATAAAATAGTCTTGGATATTGTCAATAATTTTGCATAGACACCAATATATATCAGCTTCAATATCAAGTAATATGTCATCTGGAAGTTTATTAAAATTGGTAGGGAGATCAAATTTATTGAAATCTACTCTTACATATTCATTTAGAAATACAGCTATTAAAGGAGATGCAATATCATTAATTCCTTAGACATAACTAAATTATTATTTAATATACCCACTCATTGGATGTCTCTAACTCCAAATAAATAATAATCTTTTGAATAAGTTCTATATTTTAGGATCTCTAAACAATTAAAAATCTGGTTAAGTTCTTAATACATCATTTGATATAATTTTTATTATTTTTTCTTCACTATCATCTCTTTCATAAATTTATTGATAATAGTTTTTAATATATTATATATAATCTTATCTTTTCTTCTAAATTACACTTGTTTAACTCATATGATTAGGAGGTATATATTTTAATATAAGTTTCCATACTTTTGCTCTATATACTTTTATAATTCTATATAATACCTTATGGTGCTCCTCTCCAAGTTAATTACTTTAGTTATTCAAGATCTATTATCTGTTACTCAAGGATAATTTCGAATTGTTCAATCCTATATATCCCATTATAATTATATATTTGATTTGATTTCCTTTAGAACGGTTAAGTATTATAAATTTGATTAATATTACGTTATTTTTATTAGTTTTCTTTATCCTTTGCTGGCTTTGAGAATAATTTCTTTAAAAAAGACATATAAAATATTATATTTCATAATTTAAATTATGACTTCTTAAGTTCTACTGTTGGTTGTGTTCTCTTATATGGACTAAATGTAAACATCTACTGAGATTTATTATTATAAGGGGAATTATTAGCAGATTTTGTATTAATTGGAGGCAATTTAATCTATTACTATTTATTCTTAATCTATTTTAATCTTTAATCTTCTCTTTATTACTAATTATAACATAATCATACATCTTAGCAACTCAGAAAAGACGAATTGTTTTACAATCTTGATTATGTACTTCTATGAGCAGATAATGGTGGTTGTAATTACTAAGATTCTGTTTTCAATTTTTATTAAGAACTTGGATTTCTAGATCTTATTATTAATGGTTATAGATTATTTTCAAATTATGAATGAGCTCTTAAGGATTATGGTTATTATACAGTATCACGTTTTTGACTTAATTTTTATATCAATCTAAGTATCATCAACATTTTTATCATCTTATATTCTAATTTTATAATACTTGATGAAATTCATTCTAACATTTAAATGTTTAAATTATATCTTTTGATGACATAGGCATTTGATTATTTCTACCACTTATCCAAGGATGAATTAAAGCCTATTCTGCTGTAAGACGAGCTTCTGGTTCCCATGCAGCTGTTTTTTCAAAAAATGATATAGCCGCTCTATTCTATGATTATGTATATTTTAAACTTGCTCATATTTTATGGATAACATGCAGATTAAGGAATTTTCATCTTCTTTAAAAAACTCTCTCTTGTATCATCTGCCCAAAATGGGTGACTATTTGTAAACATCATATATTGGATTATTCCCAAACTCCAAATATCCACTGATTTGAAGTATTCCTTTTTCATTAATGCTTCTGGGGCCATATAAATTAATGTTCCACAAGTTTCATGAGTAGTTGATTTTATTGTTTGGAAACTTAATCCAAAATCTATGATTTTTACATTCCATTCCTTATCAATCAAAATGTTATCTATTTATAATGATGTTCTTACCAGGTTTTAAATCTCTATGGATTATACCTTTTTTATGTATATATGCAACAGCATATATGATTTATTATATAATTTATCTTATTTAAGATTCAGTCAATGATTAATCAATACATTCCTAAAGTGATTTACCTTCAATGTATTCAATAAGAAAATAAAGTTTCCTCTTTGATTCAATTGTTTTGTAGTATTAAACAATATTTGGGTGTTCAAGTGTGCTTAGTATAGAGGCTTCTTGATTGAGCTTATCTACAATATTATTTCCAGTAGCCATTTATTTATCAACAACCTATAAAGATTTGAACTATACTTTTAAGGCATAGATATAATCCTGATATTAGACCTTGTAGACTTTGGAGAAAGCACCTGTTCCTAATTTTTAAAGTATTATGAAATCTTCAAGGAGTTATTCTCCAAATTCTTCATTTTCATTGTGTAGAAAACTTTGTTCAATCATTAATTTAAATATAAAATGGACGACGCATATTCGAATCGACCTACATCTCCAAAAGATAAGAAGACAACAATAGAATCGATGAGGAATGAGAACATGAATTACATAGAGTATAGATATATTAATATAAAAGTTCATCTGATGTAGTAGTTGAATATTACAAAAATTAGTAACTTATATAATTGATTATAGAACTGCTTCTGGTTTAGATCGTTACTTTTTGGAGATAGAAGATTGGCTAGATGAAGAGAAATCATTACATTAGAATACTCCATTAGTATTAGAAGCAGATGATGGAATAGGAAAGAAAACATTACTTGTTAAATGGATGGAATATCATGCTAAAAATAAAAAAGGAGTATATAAGATCAATATAATTATAGCGTTATTAAGATTATATCATTCCACATTTTGCTACTTAATCAGGAAAAAATAGTAATTATTTTTTTGCAATTTACCGAATATTAATTAAATTGAGAGAGACATTAAATATTAAATAAAAAGTAGAATTAGTTGAAGAAAAGCTTCGTAGATACTTTCATTATTGGTTAGAAATTTGTAGTAGAGAATTAGAATAATAATTCTTAAATGGAGCTAAAGTTATTTATGATAAAGTATATTATATATTTATAATAATAGGTAATATTGATATTTGAAGGAATTGACAATTTTAGAGATATGTTAGACGTTCATAGAGAAGCTAATGTCTCTTTTTGGTTGCCTAAATACTTTCCTAAAAATATTAAAGTTATTGTAACTGCTGAAAAAAATTCTAATTCTATGAGAATTCTTAAGCCATCTTGTCATGTAATTCCTATTACATGTGATCCAAAAGTCATTAAAACTATGGTCAATGGCCATTTTGGAAAATAATCTTTTATTGTATTTTTTCATAATTATCTATATAGTCTGATTAAAGAGTATAGGCAATCTAAGAATTATTTATTCAATTAAATTACAAAGTTCGTAATTAACCACTCTTTGTAAGAAGTTTTATGACAGTATTTTTACCATATCCAACAGATGGTTTAGTAGAACTTAAAGATATTGATGTTTCTGTTGTAGAGAATATTTTAAAAGAATTAAATTTAGATTAAATTAAAAATTTTAGATCTGTTGAAGAATTATTTACATTTTAATTAAAGTTCTTTAGTGAAAGTTTTATTTTTACTCCTAAGACACCAGAATTAAAATAAGATCCTAAATTTATATAACTTATTACTGTTCTTGCTATTACTTAAAAAGGATTGACTTATAAAGAAATTTAATCAGTTTGTGAATTTGAGGAAAAATAATGGAAATTATTCTTACTTTTTTTTAAGATCTTTTTAATGAAACATCGTGAATTGTGGATTATACATAATGAAATCTTTAAAAAATGTGTAATTAATTGTTATCATAATGATAAAACTCTATAATTACATGATAAGATAGCTGAAACTATTGCTAAATATACTAATAATTCTATTAGAAAATTAGAAGAAGAGACCTTTCATTTATTTTCTGCTAAAAATTATTTTAAATTAAAAGAAGTTATTAGTATAATTGAGAACTTTTTATTATTATTCAATCCAAACAATAAATATGATCTTTGTAGATATTGGTAAAAATTAGAAGAAAATGGATTCGATCCAGTTTTAGAATATAATAAAGCTGTAGAAGGTTTTTAAATACATTATCATCCAAGTGCAGAAGATCTTTTTAGAATTATTATTTAAGTATCAAGATTTCTTAAAGAATTTGGAGATTTTGAAACTAAAAATACTCCAGTATTTAGACATCCTCCTATTATTGGAGTGTTATAAGATTTATATGATATAGGATTATTATAAGAAATTTTAAAATTGGATTTGTATTTTAATAAAGATCCAGAATTAAAATTATTTGATCCTGCCAAACATTTAAAAAGAGTAGCTAAAGCTATAAAAACACCTGCACTTACTAGATTGGAGTCTCAAAATGTAGAAATACACTAAAATAGATAAGAAGTTAGAAACCATTATTTATAATAAATGATAAAGTCTAGTGAAAGAGAACCTGATGAATTAGAAATTATTTAAACTTTAGATATTGAAGAATTTAAATATGAAATGTAAAAGATACTCTAAAAATTATTGACAGAAAAAAGAGAATCATTATCTGGTGAAGAAGAGATAACTGGTGATAGAGTATCATCAGACTATTATTATAAAAGATGGATATGGATCTAATTTCCTTGGGCATGTTTAAGTATAAGTAAAAAATGTGATTATTCTAAAACTATCAAACATTGTTTCTCTTCTGCAACTGATTATATGAGTGTAGAAGAAGAACATGCTTATACTAATTGTAATAATATTATATTATTATTTAGCTGCCTTGAAAATTGCTATTGAAGCTAAATTAAAAAAAAAGTTAATGTATGAAACTGAACCAGAAGAATAATAATAATCAATAATCTTAATTCCTTAAGCAAGTGTACTAAATCAACCTTAACCAGTTAAACTTGATTATAATTTTGATAATACATAAGCTAGTAGATTTGATAGAAGCAAAGCTATTCTTCCAAAAATAGAAAGTATCAATGCTTCCACTCTTAATATTTCATAAGATAAATATGAAAGAACAATGTTCATCACCTAAGATTTTACTGATTTAGATACTCTTAATTAAGAATCTAAATAAATTAAAATTACCATTGAAAATAAATCTAATGATGGATAAAATACAGTTAAATTATTAGATAAGTTAAAAACATAAAAAATTAGATTAAAATCATTTTAATCTTCCTCACTTTCTTTGAATGCATATTAATAGACTGAAATATTCCCTATTCTTAAAACTGATATTTAAAAACATTCTCAAAAACAAATGCATCTCTTAGAATAATAAGCTAAATAAATGAGAAAAAAATTAGATACCTTAACCTATGAAAATTTGAAATTAGCAAAAATACTTAAATAATAAAAAATTATTGATTTTAATAAAGGTTATATAAAGAAAGAACTATCTAATTTAGAAGAATTGAAGGAAACCAAAACTGAACTTGAAAAACAATTATAAGAAGCCGAATAATCTTATAAAACAAGTAGTTTTTAAAAAGTTAGAGTCATTACTATTTTGAAAATATGTAAAGATAATAAATAACAAAATGAAGAATACATAAGAGTATTTCCTTTTAAATATATTTTAGCATTTATAATAATTGATTAATAATTTTAAGAAATTAATCAGATTTGAAGAAGTGGAAATATCAAAAAATAAATAATAAATCAAAACTCTATATAGAACTATTGATGATTTTTTGTTGACTTACAATTAAAAGAAAAAACATTAAGGAAATTTAATTAATTAAATTAAAAATTCATTACTTGAAAAAAAGAATTTAGATCACCTCTTCTAAGCAGGTATTTATATATTTCATTATTCAATTAGCTGATGTTTATATATAAGATTCGGCTTTAGAATCTGTTTAAAATTTAAGAAGAAATTAAGCCAAACAGAATGATGCATAATAAAATAAGAAATTAAAATAATAGTAGGAGAAAAATACAAAAACTATACATGAGAAATTAGAGTAATTTGAAAAAAAATATGCCTAAATTAAAGGAATATTTGACATAAAAGAATAAAATTACAGTCATTCAACTAATTTTATTGATTTTATGGCTAACATAGAAAAAAAAAGTGAATTAGAAATATAACTATCTGAATAACAATAAAATTTAGAAGCATCAAAATAGAAAAAAATTAAACTGGAAGAAGAATTGTAGACATTTTAAAATGCTTATTAAATGAACAAATCTTAAAGTTTATCTAATATTGAAACCATTGATACATGTAATATATTTATAATTTTTCAGAAAATGTTCAATAATAAGAAAATAATATCTAAGTCTAAGCTGATTATCTACGAAAAATAAGAGATTTTAAAGTTAAATGTCACTCTTCCTATGATTCCCTATTTACTAAATTTACTAGCAAAGATGATTAATAAGTATAGTTTTTTTTTATTAAGCTAATAAATGCAATTAAATTAAGAAAATAAAAAATAATTGAAACCGAAGGATAAGAAGCTTATTCTAAATTATTGAATAACTCTTATGACATGGATAAAATATATAAGAAAATCGTTCCTTATGAAAATGTATTAAATTTAAGTTAGAGTTCTGAATCCGATCATGAAATGTATTGATAAAATTATTTTAATCAAAATAATATAATATATTATAGAATGCCAAAATCAATAGGTTAAATTTTTAAAGAAATATGGCCAAAATTAGCAATATTCACAGTTATGCTTGCAATTACCATATTTTAAAAACATCCAATGACTTTTAAAGCTCTTGGTTAAAGTGATGAAGAAATTTAAGAATAATTTAAGACAGGTGAATTCAAAACAACTACTTTTGAGAAGGATTACTTAGCATATGTATAAATAGAGAAAATAATCTTTACTCTTGTTGTGTTTTTAATTTTTTATTTTTTCAGAAGAAAGAATCTAGAGTATGAAGAAGAATAAGCTAGATTATTCTTAGAAAAAGAAAAAGATAAGAAAATAGCTGAAAATAGAAAACTACTAGAACAATAAAAATACGAATTTACTGATGAGGACATCAAATTTTATAGAGAAGCTAATGAAAAAATTAAATAAAAAGAACTCAGAACAAAAAAAAAATATAATTAAGAATGAGTTTTGCGATATATTATATGATGTTTATTCATTAATATTATTTACATTTACATATTTTCTTCTATGTACTTTACGAATTAAAATTATCTATATCATCTAGATATTAAAACAAAGATTTAAATTAATAAGATGAAAATGAATATTCACATCAAAATTAATGTATATTTATAATAAAGAATTAATCACTATTCATCTACTCTAAGATAACAAAAATTTACGATAGAAGGAGAGATTGATATGTGGACTCTATGTGGTGTTCAAATTGGAAAAATTCAAAAACAACAAATTTATCAGGTTACGCTGAGATATCAGAAAGTCTTTTTTTTTGATTTATTTTTAATTAGTCTGCTTGCATTCAAAATAAAAATTTGAAATTAATAAACTTAATAGAGTCATTTAATAGGTTGTTAAATAATATTAAATTAATGACCTTATCAAAATATAATAATTTTTAAGGCTTTTGTATTGCCCTAAAAAATTGATAAACTTATTGAATAAGAAATGGGGGTATTGTTTTTTTATTAAGGTTTAAGTTAAATTAAAAACAAAAAAATATGAGGCATTTTCACATAAATCAAAAAATCCTTTTATAAGTTGGAGGAATATTAAATTTAATATGTAAAGGGATTATTATATGACTTTGGAAAAATTTGAAAAAATGTTTTAGAGGCAACCAGATGGATTAGCATGTTGCAAATTATGTAATAAAGAGATTCTTTTACTTGATACAGATGAAGCAGAATTTTGGAGGCATCAAGTTGATAGGGAACATTTGGATAGCTTAATCAATTTTTATTTAACTTAGGATAAGGATATTAACGTTAATAAAAAGGGATAAATTTAAATTTATGAAAAAAATTAACCATCATCTATAGAAAAGAAAGTGAATCGTAATTATTGATATTTATATATAGAGTTTGAAAAATTGATGTAAAAAGAAGCTAAAAGAATGATAAAAACATAATAGGGGAGCGATCAGATGAAATAGATAGTAGATTAATTAGATAGATTAATGTTAAAAAAATAAACTAATGATGAAATTATTAAAAAAGTGAAATTGAATTTTCCTAATATTTATTCTAATGATGATAATAATTTAGAGAATGGTTTATATTTAACATAGAATTATAAAAAACAAAAAAAATTAGATCCTTAAGAAATCTTTTCAAAATCAGTTGAAGAATATTTTAATAAATTTATAGTAGAATTAATAAAAAAATAGTAATTAACAGAAGTAATTTGTTTTTTATTAGCCAGAATAGGAATATCATTAAAATAAATTTGTGATATCAATTTTACAAGAATTTATTAGGAGATAAACGAATTAAATGAGATCTGTAAGGATTTACCATAAATTATTCTTACTTTAAATATTTTAAAAGAAATGTCTTCAAAATTAGAATAAGATGTAGGAGAAGAAAATTAAGGATTTTTAATTAAACAACCAAAGAAACCAAAAGCATTAAGAAAAAAATTGGAAGGCTTAAGGAAAACAATAAGGAATGAGACAGCTTTTTAAGATTATAAAAGATTCTTAGAGAAACTGAAAGTTAAATCATTGAATGCTCTATTTAACAGTGAAATTAAGAATAAGATGCCTTAAATAAAGAGAAGATTTTCTTAAGATCCTATTAGAAAAGAATAGGATGAGTTTTATATTGATATATCAAATGAGGATGAGGATGATGGATCTTTAGAGGCAGATGATCAATCAGCTATATTTGAAGGTATTGAGTCAAATCCGTATAAAGAGTAGGAATAAGCTTAGAAGTAAAAATTGAATGAGAATTTATAAATTAAACCGTTTATAACTAATTCAAGGAAACCAGCATATTTAGAAAAAGTTATTGAAATAATTATGGAATATGAATGCAAAAGGATTAATCAAAAATAATAAAAGAAAAATTATGAATGGAATGATTAAGAATCGTCAGATGATGATAATGAGTCATCAGAATAATGATTTATATAAAATAATTATTAAATTAATTTCGTTAACAAAAAATATATTAAAAATTTAAATTTTAAAAGAAAATGTTATTTTA